TACGGGAGAGATTTTGATCTCCCAATTTTTTAGTTTTTTGCTAGATTTAAGGAGACGCGGGGTCGTACCTTCGTAGGTGGACATTTTGGTTGTTGGTGGTGAACTTGTGTTTTGAGGGGAGGGGTCTGAGGTGACGAGGGACGCGGGGTCGGGCCCAGGTTCCCTGGCAGTTCGGAGTCTTGGTTTTGGAGATGGGTTGTTATTTTGTGTAGGTTGTGTCTGGAGGAGAAGGAAGAGAAGGAAGAGGGAGTGGACTGCAATGGGTTCTGGAGTTGTTATAATGCTGATTGTTCGGTGAGGTTATGCGGAGGCAGCAATCGATAACGCGTTTTAGTGGTTCGGTGCGGAGGTCGAAATTCTATTCGGGTTATGGTCCATGGACACAATGGGATTAAGGGCACCACATGACGTACTGGTCGTATCAATGTATATACTAGTCTTTTAGACCAATTCAATATTCTTGACTTTATTGAACTAAATGACCTTATACTCAACTCCACCGCAGTGCCATGTTGTAGATACACATGAGAGAGAGAGATATATATATGTCCTAAGATATACCGCAATGCGAGATCCTTCAACGATATCTCATTAAGTCAATAGTGGAAATCTTCATGTACTATTTCTTTTCCGGTAAGCCAATTCCACACCGAACTCTTCAAGGAAGGACCACCACAGAAGTACCATACGTCCGCCAATGACAGATCTAGATCTATAGCTTCCATTCGGCGACGTTCAACTCGTGCCCCAGATGCGATTAATGTCTCCAGTTGTTCAGTAATCTTCTCATCCTGTGGCTCAGGCCCAGATATGAAAAGGCCTGTGGCGTGGGGTAATTGAGGGAATCGATTGAATGTGTCCAAAACCAGACCAAGGTCACGAATGGAAATTGACCAAAGCAAACGTAAGCGACTGACATCGATATCAGGGAGTTGGGCAAGAAGTGGCGTAATTCCGATACCACCGGCTATGAATGGAATTTTGTGATGCTCACTTGGTGTTTTCAAATAGAAGTCACCGCCGAAGCCTTTCAAAGGTACCTCCAAACCCGCTCGCTCGTTGGTTCTGAAAAGGTGATCGGTTACATTACCGTGTCTCCGAGCAGTTATCTCAAACTCTGTAGAGCGGTTATGTACTGGATAGGACGAAATTGTGAAAGTTCGGACATAGTCATCGTTGATACTCAGTGGGTCATCATCTTTCATGTGGCTATACCCCATGTCCAACTCTTCTTGGAAGGAGAGGGTAGCATATTGTCCAGGCGCCCATGTCCCAATCTTCGATGGATTTGATATTTGAAAACGAAACCGGCATATTGTCGGGGTAAGTAACTCCTTCTTCACCAACATAGCTGTAACAGAGGATTTTTCATCTCCTATAGCAGCAGGGCTAGCCTTTTCGCTGGCCAAATATCGTACACCTGGATTATATGGAGATTTTGCTCCTGCAACGCCACGAAATGCTAATGTTTTCTCTACGTACCGAGCTGCGGTGACAGTCACTTTCACGGCTAGGTTCGATCGTGGAATGAGAGCGGCGGCCTCTTTCCCCACCAAGACCTCAGTTTGTCCAGTGACGTATAATGCATCTCCTGTTTCAAAATCCGGAAAGACAAAACCCGCCAAGGGTGTTGTTTTAAGGTTACCCAGAGTTTGATACAGGCGATTGCCAGAATATTCCGGGTAAGCAAATACGGCTCCGCTGGGTTCGTTAGATATAACACGGACAAAGCCTGGAGGTCCACCACGGATGTTGGTATCCATATCCACGTCTCCATGTCGTGAGGATATAAACAACGTGTCCGCACGATCAAGGAGCTTCAAAGCGCTAGAGGGCAGTTGAGGGGACTCCGAGATTAGTCTTGGAGTAGGCAGAGTCGGGGTAATGTTTCTAATATTTATATACTTGGGACAATTGCCTACAGTTGTAAGTACCTCATGGATATAGTCTTTTCATTCCAATTCTTACCAAGACTTCCTTCTATTTGCACAAACAAATGCGCAAACCCTACTTTGCTGGGGCCAGTCTGGTTCTCTTCGTCCATTTGTATTGATCCTGTGATTTTCCTCCCAAAAAGCTTTGCCCTTTTGCGGGTCGCTAGATCGACAACTAAGCCAGAGACCAACTGCCCGGACTCCCCTGAGTTGTTATGTAGCAGTATATCTGCTAGAGGATCGTGCTTGCTATCAACAGGGGTCCTAACCTCGATCTTGGATTGAGAAGTTGGCTTGGCGAAGCCTACTTCACCACCCCAAAGCGTTGACCAAGGCCGGCCCTCTCGATCAACGGCACCGATAGCAAGCAAAGGCGAGTTTAAGAGCAAATAAGTTGCCCCGTAACTTAGAGAAGGCACTGTGGGGTTGATGATAGGCGGAATACGCAGCAAGCTGCGCATTTGTATTTCGCCATCATGCCAGGGAAGGGTATCAGTTAGAAGGGACGCCATTGATTGATATGTTGATGCTATAAAAAGAATGGAATTCTCATGATGAGCTATGGATCATGGATACCAATGATAGAGATATGTGTTGACATTGACGAAAACTATTGGATTGGTCAGCACCTGATACTAGACCTTTTGACTAGTTACTGACATAAGTAAGCATCGTTTTCATTGATTTCAAGAAAAGATGAATAATCGTCTCCAAATACCGATGGCTCGGCAGGCGGGGAAGAGGTTTGCTCTGTTTGACAGCAGATTGGCAGTTGGACCGCAATGGGGATGCCTAAAGCCTAAAGGCTGGCATGTCATGTGATCGTTGCCCTGGACAGCACGTGTGGAGAAAATATAATGGCGATTGTTCAGGATCCACACTTTTTCAATTTATCCGGAAACAATCTAGCCCAAGCTGACACAGTCCTCTGAACGGTGATACAGGTACTTGACTTCTTGGATGCTATTTGAATGAATGACTGGGGGCAAAAACCACCTCAGCAACAATCGTCATCGTATTTGACTATGCCACTAGTGGACTCCATCCTTGTGGTTGGTTTCTTTCTTTAGCAACACCCGCAGTGGAGCCAAAGATCGGCCACAGAGGAGGCTTTGCATTGCGACGCCTGTCTGGATCAACAACCCACAGCCTTCGCTCGTTGAGCTTTTTTCTGTTTTTCTCCCTTGTTGATTCGCATTTTCACTTTCTTTATTTATTCCCACTCATATTCCTTCTTGTTGGTTCAAGGGATATCAAAAATTTTATTCAACCACCTCCTTCACGCGTGGTGGCACTGACGACAAGTGGATCTTTGTTTTGTTATCATATCAACATCCATACATATTATCCCCCACACGAGCCAAAGAATTAATTAATATCGATTGATTACTGCTTGATCCAAGCGCATCACCACCTTGACTCAAACAGATATCAACATGCGATCCAAACCCAGATCCGTGAAACCATCGGCGTATCCTGCAATACCATTTCATGCCATCCGCGCTGTGGGCTTTATCTCTACTCTGGTCGTCGGTATTATTCTAGCCGTCTTCATCTACAACCTCCACCAAGGTGGCTTCAAACTTCCTTGGGCATTCCTGGTCGTAAGTCCCGCATGACAAACCCACAGCCTCAAGAAATAAAACTAACATAAACACACCCTAGTTGCTGATCACCGTTATCCTTTCCCTTCTTAATTACATCCTGACTACCATAACCCACTGCTGCTATGGCCTCTCACCGCGCCTATCACTCCTATCGAATACGATCTGTCTTCTTCTCTGGCTCATCTCCCTCGGCCTCCTGAGCTGGAGCATGTCCCAAACGATCTTGACTACCTGCAACGCCACGTACTGGGCTACTTCTACTGGTATCACCGTTTGTCGGATATACAAGGCATTGTTCGCCTTCACTGTCTTGGGGAATATCTCGTACATCGCCGCCATCGCCCTCGATGTTATCGTACGCAGACGTCAAACTCGTCTGGGCGAGTACGACCCCATGGCCAGCAACCCAGCCTTGAACGATTACAAGATGCACGATCGCAGCAGCAGTGCCTTGTCGGGAGGTATGGGCCCTTATGGTGGACTTGATGAACAACATCCCGCGCTTCGTTCGAATCATCACACGGATGATGTCTACAGCGATATCCCTGCTCCGGGTAATTATTCCGGTCAGGCGATGCCCCCGCCCGTGTATGGTGCCAGTTCCACCTTTGAGCAGCATCATGGTGGTGAGGCACAGGATTATTATCAGCCGACGCCTACTCGTCCTCGTGTCCGATTCAGCGCCTATGGGCATGACGGGTACAGTCACCCAACAGAGCAGACGCATTATGATCCCGCGGCATATAGATGAGCTCTTGCGGTACACACCATTTCCTGGATATAACTGGACAACCACTGGGAATTGTACAGTATTGGGGGCTGTCTGGTTACAACGGACCTGGTAATGTGTCGATTATATGAAACTCGATCTGATGTGTTACGATCTTGCAGTGAAGGGTTAATACTTGTTTTGTCAGGGCGTAATAGGTGTATTGTTTATATCAAAGATGTCGTCCTTTCTGTCAGTCTTAGATGTTGTGATCATGAATCATGCCAGATTTGTATATTTGTGGTATTTTTCTCTCTCTAAATATTTCTTTCTCTCCGGGAGAAGCAACCGTAGTCTAGAGTATTGTATTTGGCTTGAGCATATGAAGCACATAGTTAATGCTAAGGAGGTTAAACAAAGTCCATGGCTTGCCAGAGTTATAGATCAAAATGAGTCAAGGCTGATATAAGAGATAGTATTAGTTCCAAGACATAGAAGGAAAGATATGGACCACAATTGATATTCACGAGTCCACCCAATGTTACGATTCCATGTATGTTTACATAATGACCTCGTTGGCGACATCCTGGATATGTGATTAGTTGTGTTAAGAGAACATTTGAGGGATAGAAGAGGCACATACACGCTTGAGTTCCTTGTACGGCAGACACACACAGTTTTGCACCCGTACTTCATCACCAACGGCGCACTCCTTACCCAGGATGGTGATGCTCTGTACCTTGACGCCGTGCTTCACGATGCTGGTGGAATGAGTTCCATTCGCGATAGGGGTACCCTCGACACGGGCCCAGGCACCGACCCGGCTGCTCCATCCTATGATCGAGTGCATCACGCAAGCGTCGTGTTTGATCTCAGCATCCTCGAGCACGATCGAATCCTTAACACGGGCTCCTGCACCCACAACCGCACGGGGGCCAATTGAGACATTGGGTCCCAGCTTCGCCGTGGGATCAACGGTTGCGGAGGGGTGGATGAAAACTGGGGGAACAATGGTCGCGGAAGGAGGGGTAAGTTCATCGGATTGGGCCTGGAAGGCCTTCTGGAGGTAGAGAGCATTGGCAGGGACGGCAGAGCCGGCAGTCTTAATCTGGCGCCAGAAATCTTTCGTTTCGTGGACGAAAAATCGGTTGCTGTCGGCAAGGTCTGACAGGATATCCTGCTCCAGGCGGAGAACTTCGCTCTTTTCCGAGTCTTCCTCGGCAGCGACGAATGACGATTCCAGATTCTCAGAGGACGGGTAGGATACCAGACGGGGCCTGGTGGTGCGGCGTTTGATAGCACTGCGGATGGAAGGGAAAATGCACTCAGTCGCAAACAGATATACACCGCAGTTAATGAGGTTGGAGATATGCGATTCGGGTTTCTCGACATAGTGAAGCACTCGCTTGGTATGCGAATCGGAAACTATGCATCCGAAGTTGGTGGCAGCATCATTGTTCACTCTGGTTCCAAGAATAACAGCCTCAGCATCCTTCTCCTCAAACAGCCTCAGCATCTCCCCAAGCGGGAAAGAGCAACAGACGTCGGCATTGAGTACGAAGATGCGCTCCGGTTTGCCCTTGAGAATGGCATCGCGGAAGTGGTAGAGACCACCAGCGGTACCTAGAGACGTGTATTCGCGCAGATATTGAATGCGGAATTGGGGGAACTCCTTGGTGGAGTCTTTGATGAAGTCGCGAAAGACCGTCTCGTCGTAGTAACCGACTAGGTACACATCTCGGATATCGGGGATCTTCGCGAGGGCTTTAAGGCCATGATAGATGATAGGATGTCCGGCAACTTCGAAAAGAGGCTAATGATAGATCAGATCACTCATTAGCACATGCTCGGAGATTATTCAGGGGTCATGGGAGATCAACGGAGGGGGCCACTAACCTTGGGCACATCGAGAGACAGAGGCCTGAAACGGGTTCCTCTGGATGGGCCACCGACCTAGCAGCAAGTCATGTCAATTATAACCATCTAGCGACTGGGTTTATGCAGTATATACCAAGATGATAGCCTTGGTGGAGGCCACGTTGGTATGTTCCCGCACTGGTACTTGAAGCATTGGGAAAACAATGGGTGGGGTGGGGAATGTAGGTAGGTATCAAAAGATAAGTTTGGTGACGTCGCAATGGAGAAGAGAGTGAGGATGAAATGTGATATCGATCATGCAAAGAGAGAGGTAAGTAAGGATAAGGATACCGTAGAAAGTTTTCTCAAGCTAGGACCGGGAACTTTCTTGGGCCTGAATGCTAAAGATGTCCAGAGTCCCATCAGGAGAAAGAGAGCCTAAAAGCGGATATTCCATAAATAACTTGGCAGTAAAATTCACCGCTTTCGTCCATGGTGGTTTATAGCTTCCTTCCTCTTTGGGACAGTAGTACGAAGGTATATGGATGAATAATAAAAGATACAATCTATTTATAATCTGCAGCTCTCCAGTGTTGAGAGCAGCTAGTCCTAGTCCCTTTCGCGAATATAGTGATAAATGTACTGCCAAAATCGAACCGGTGCGGGGTTTCCCTCACCACTACAGTGACAGTCAGATACTCTATGGATGGTAAGTCTGAGCATGCGCGGGGACTATGAAAAATTATTAGTACATATTATTTGCTATTATTTTACGGTGGATAAATCAGTCGAGGTGAATACATTGACTTACAAGGATGGTAAGCGACTATAGAGCAAGGCGTCTACCGAAAATATCTTCAACTCTAGATATGGTAACCTTTTGGATAGATTGGCATACGTGACTGTTTATGCGACATTGTGGCCCTAACAGGATGATTCCACTTTGTGTTCACGTACATCGTAATTCGGCCATATCTTCAATCGTGTATCCAGCAAATCCTCATTGCCTGATTTGGACGAACCAGCAACCCCACATCTTTCACGAAACCCTCGCAGCAGTCTTTTGCAAACACGCAAAGAGCAGGAATACAAGAGAAACTATGGGTCAAGTATTATGACAGACTAATGACCTAGCATATATTCAACTATATGCCTTTGGGGAGCTTTTCCGGAGTTTGGGATCTGAAGACTAGAGGTAACGTGAACTTTTCCTCGTCTTCCTCTTTCTTGATCGCCGAGAGCCACTCTTGTGCTTGGGTAATCTTTTTCTTCTCCTTAAGCAGGTACTGGCGTCGACGTTGGCGTTCAAGGTCTGGAGCCATGAGCTCTTGGCATCGTTCAAGTGACATACCATCTGTATCAGAGATATGTAACTCTTTTTCGATAACTGAGACGAGTTCTTCTCGGCATTTTGAAAAAAGTCTGGTATGGATACCCTGACAGGTAGAATCGACGAATCGTGAACTGGCTACCTCATAGTAACCCCGAGTGGACTAGAAAGTCAACGTCTGTGCAGAATGTTAAGAGTGACAATAAGCTTACCGCCATCATCTTTACTTCTTGGAAGAACCTGTCGGGTCCAAGTTCAGCTGTTGTCAGCTTCTTGAGCTCGGCTGCCTTTCGGATGTCATTTTCTGGAAACTTTCCCTGAAGTTCGAGGTATAAATCTGCTCTAGCCATGTGGCGCCGAGTACTCAGAAAGTGGTGCGCGTCCTTGGTAGCATGTTCAAGTTGTGCTGTAGCCATAGTGAACGGTTTGTGATGTTCGATGTTGTAATTGTCGACGGCGTACTTTGTATGTTGCTCCTGAAGTTCTCCAAGGTATTTCTCGAGGATCCTTTTCAATTCCCTGAAGAGGGTTGTCTGATAGTACTGAGAAAACACTTCTCTGAGCTGCTTCAGCAGCATCTCTTTGACTAGATTATGCGTCGCCTTGAGGAAAACAAGCATTGGTCCATCCCAATGCTCGACACTCAGTTGCCGGAGCTTCTCGAGGGCCTTGGGATCTGCCTGGTCGGGGATTCCAGCACGGCATGAGTCCTCATTAATTTCGCGGATGTTTTCCCAGGTGAAGACTCGAGCAGGTTGGACGAACTGGTTAAAGTGGTTGGTAAAGTATCCCGAAGGTCCCGGTTTCGGTGTCTGCGGATCTGGAGGGATACTGGGCGACTTGCGTTTCACTGGTCTTGGTGCTGATGTCATTTCGCAGTCCGAATCTCCACCGGGCTGTACTGGAAAAGATGTTCGATCCGATTGTGATAGAAGCGACACTGTTGGGCGCGTACGGATCAATGCCGCTCTAAAGTCCTGCGCTATATGGCCCCAGATCTTCAGCAGAGGGTAATCCGAAGAGCCTCCTTCAAAGTTAGCGCGAATCCTGTCTCCCAGATCATAAAGAAGTTTGCATAAGATGTATAGAACATTGGCGGAAGGTGGATCAGGGAGCTCTTTAAGTTCCTCATTGATACGAGTGGCCTTATTATCGATTTGCTCAATGATCCCCGGAAGACAACCCTGTATCTGCTCTAGAAGGAGGCTTGAAAGCGATGTTTGAAGGCGACGAGTTCCAAACCTATCCTGGTAGGGTGCCAACTCTTCAGCCGTCCAAGGGGGTGAAGCAAAGAAGTCGTCCTCCTCTTCTCGGGCTTGGTAATGTTCGATCGTTGGATCCGGGTTGTTGCGAACAATGTAGTAGCCATGTCCAAGTTTGAATTTGTAGCCCTCCAAGATATCTACCCATTGCGAATATGATTCACCTGCCTGTATTCTATCAGGCTTTGTCAATACACCTAAGGTGCGTTGGTGAGCACCACGCACGTTTCGCATGATGCGTGCTGCGCTGGAGTTTGTTGCGTCATCCGTCATGGGCAAAGTCAACAAAACAATACAGTTTTGCTGTGAGATGTACTCCTTGACGAGGTTTTCAATGAGCAAGATAAGATATCTCTCTTCGTCTAACTCTGCCTGGCTAATGACGCCAGGAAGATCATAGAATGATAAATTGGGAAAGTCGGGCGCAGAGATGTCAAGTCGCACAATGTTAGGCGAGAACTTGACTTGGTAATGCGTATTGGTGCCCGTGTTTTCTCCTGGAATATATTCTCTGGAAGGCTGTCCTGGATTCAGAATAGCAAGCTGGGCCCACTTGATGGCTTCTTGAATCTGGTCCTTGTCGGACAGCGTGATGAAGTGTTCATCTTCCTGGTCTTGTTCAATCCATGGACCAAGTGGCTGGGCCTTTCTGGGAGCTCTAAGCTTTCGCGATCCATCGTACATGTATCTCCGTGATAGATATATCTGGCATACCCAAGGCTGGCCGGGCTCGCCCTCAGAGAGATTTATCTCCATTGGACACCTCGTACAAGTACCAGCGCTTCTGGGAACCTTTATCTCAGACATTCCTTCTATGAGTGAGCTCTTGCCCGTACTCTGGTCTCCTATCACACAGATCTTGGGTAGAGCAATCCGGTTATCTTCTATGCCGATATGGCGGAGGTCTTGTATCTTCCGGACTAGGGCCTTCATGTCGCGTGCAATGACCTGGATCGCCTTATTCTCTAGAGACCTCATTTTGGATGGAGATTCCTGAGCGGTAGCTAATGAGATTGTTAGCCTGCATATCAATGATTAGATGGGTCTTATATACCGTCTGTAGAGTAGCTAGGACTTCCCAGTTGCGACATCTTCGACAACCCAAAGCTCCCTTTGTGTGTGTGTGTGTGTGTGTGTGTGTGTGTGTGTGTTGAGAGATGAAGATGAAGGTGGTGACAAGAGTAACACTCGACAAGTAGGAAAGACAGCTGGGTTGTAAGTAGGTGTGAGGAGTGAATGAAAATGGTCAAAGCAAGCTGGAGGAGGGGCCCAAGTAAAGTGAATGTTTTATACAACATAAGCAAATATGCGAGTAGGTGTGTTCTGCTCACATATCATAGCACGGTGATACTTGTATTGAATATAAACTATATTTACAATATACCGTACTTTTGGAACTGCCTGTCCAATCAAGTTTATATTCATGCTAAACCTCGAGCAGCGGGCCCAAAACGTTATTTGTCATATGCTTGTTGGTGAAGCCGAATTCGGTAAGACTGTAGAATTCTTGCACCTACAAGAATATTAAACCGCTGGATCTTTTCGCGTAAAAGCTTCTTCAAGACGTCCTACTTCCCTCTAGCCACTCATATCTGGTGGCGTAAGGATGCCAATACTGATAGCCTGCGACTGCCATTCTATATGAAATAACGTACCACATAAACCTCTCTGGTGGATCATTGTTCGCAAAGATATTGAAGGCTGCATCGTGTTCCTCCTCTGCCTTGATGAACCGGGATTTCAAACGAGCCAGCGCCCCTTTTCAGATATCGCATGCTGGTGCATCAGCACAACGACCGCGTTGTGGATGGGTCCTGCCGATTGCTCTTTCTTTTCCCTTGGGTAGCTGTAGTAATCATTCAAGAATGCCAGTTCTTCTTCAAGCGGCTTAATAATATACGTTACACTCTCACTCTCCTTTTCAGCCGCATCTAAATTGATATCCATTGCTAACCACTCCACTTCATCGATCTTCCACGAGGAGAAATTGGCGCTGACTTATCAACTACTACGTACACATTCAATACTACAATATCGCTTCATTACAAGTTATGGGGCTCTCCTTACAATGCTTATTGAAATTGTATAGTAAACTGACTCCTGTACCAAACTTAGTTTCTTATCGGACGACTCCTGTGGGATGACTTTTAGCCTCACTGCACATTGTCCTAACATTTTGTCCTTCGACATTCTTCCGCTTGTTGAGACTCGAACCAGATGTAGCAAGATAATTAACTACATTTAACCCTTAGGTAATAATTACTGATATCGCAAAGGTTCATATGCTCTAATAAAGATATGTAAAAGATACATAATCCTATTGCTAAATCTACCCTGGAGATAATTCTGGATTACCCTGGCTCTTAATTCAATATCTAGAGAGCGCTCAGCACATGTACTTCTGTCTTGAACTACGCCCCAGAATCAATTACTAATTAAAAAGCGGCCCTAGGCTTGTCCCATCCCACTCCACTAGTGGCCAAGTGAAAAACCCTGGGGTGGCCCAAGACAGAAAGGGTAGGTCAACACAGGACTTGAAACTTAGACAGGCCGTTCTTCATCGGAAGTAATGGGATCATAGAGTCAAGAGCTTTAACACGGCTATTGTAGGTCCTGGGATAGTGGATCTCATATACCATTACTTGACTTATACTGTCTGTCTTGTTTCTTTACTTCAAAATTCTTTTCCCGCTTCAGATCTTTTCTAATTCTGTAGACACAATTCAATAAACATTTGAATTAATCTTTCTGAGGTTATTAATTATCACACCGCTGAGAGTTACTGTCCTGATATTACGGAATACTCTGTGAAGTCCCTTTGTTGACCGAGATGCAACCCGTAGCCGTGGTGAAGCTAGGTCAATGTATCAACAACTAAGCTAGTAGAGCCTTTTTTTTTTTTTTTTTTTTCCAACCGTGCTACTATATGTTTGCTTGACTGCTTATAAATAGCAAGCATATTTAAAAAAAAAATCCACCTGAAACTAGTAGTTGGCATGCCCTGCTTACTATTAGCCATGTTAACAGATTACAGTGTATCTGCAGTCACGAGTACATTTACACGGACCCAGCAAAAGCATATATAGCAAGGAATTTTTGACAAGAGATACTGGTGTATGTTTCTAATCCTTCGTTTCTACAGTTTAATTTCATGTTTACAACAGTAGCCACCTTTCTGAGATATCGTGCGTTCACCTCTATCTATGGAGGGGCAAAAGAAACCCCGCCTATGTGCCCTAAGCCCTAAGGCCCCAGGTAAGAATGGGAGTCATAACTGACAGTTACTAGATGATGGTCTTAGTTTCAAGAGACAATTAAGGTAGGATGTCAATTTTTTAAGTATATTAAGTGATAATTTCATAAGAAGCCTGCGCATGAAGAATATCATGACTCATAGGAATTGTAGGATGTCATTGATTCTTAACGTGGGGTAATTAATGACCCAATGAAAAAAAAGTTGAGACTCCCGCCCAAAATTCTTTGGCTCACCCACCGAACCTCCGCCGTTTCTCTTATCCTCACTCTTCTCCTTCAGAGCGACAGGCCATTTAATCCACCATGTCGGAACCTAATGCAGTTAAGGAGGCTGAGGCCTCCATGGCCAACCTCTTGCTCGATGAAGTCACTGGTGAGAAGGTTTCCAAGTCCGAATTGAAGCGCCGTCAGAAGCTCCGTGAGAAGGAGGCCAAGAAGAAGGAGAAGGAGGCTGCTGCCCCTCCCAAGCCCGCGAAGAAGACTTCTGCTGAGGAAGACGAGGCCAACTTGACTCCCAACGTAGGTTTCTTGCTCCTGCTTTTAGATGTCTGTGCAGTGGCACGTCTAATTTGTAGATCGCTAACCCTGAGCTTTTAACCTTTCTTTAGCAATACTTCGAAATCCGCAGTAAGAGAATCAACAAGTTGCGCGAGACCAAGCAACCCGACCCCTACCCTCACAAATTCCAAGTCACCGATGACTTGCGCCAGTTCCTCAAGGAATATGAGCATCTTGGAAAGGGTGACCAGCTGCCCGACAAGACCGTTCGTATCGCCGGTAGAATCTACACCAAGCGTTCCTCCGGCGCCAAGTTGATTTTCTACGACATCCGCGCAGAGGGTGTGAAGGTGCAAGTAGTGTGCCAGGCTCAGAACGCTGCTGGCGATGTCTCCTTCGAGGCTCAGCATGAGCATCTCCGGAGAGGTGATGTTGTTGGTATTGTCGGCTTCCCTGGTCGCAGTAACCCCAAGAACCGCCCCGATGGTGAGCTGTCTATTTTTGCTTCTGAGGTCGTGCTCTTGGCTCCTTGCTTGCACGCTATTCCCTCCGAGCACTATGGTTTCCAGGACAAGGAACAGCGCTTCCGTCAACGTTACCTTGACTTGATCATGAATGACCGCTCGCGCAATGTCTTCATCACCCGCTCTAAGATTGTCTCCTATATCCGCAACTTCTTCGACACCCGCGACTTCGTCGAGGTCGAAACCCCCATGATGAATGCTATCGCCGGTGGTGCAACTGCCAAGCCCTTCGTCACTCACCACAACGACCTCGACATGAACCTGTTCATGCGCGTGGCTCCCGAGTTGTACCTGAAGATGCTCATCGTTGGAGGCCTTGAGCGTGTGTACGAAATGGGTCGTCAATTCCGTAACGAAGGCATTGACCTTACCCACAACCCCGAATTCACAACCTGCGAGTTCTACTGGGCTTATGCCGATGTCTACGATGTCATGAACCTGACTGAAGAGCTGGTCTCCGGCCTGGTGAAGCACGTCACCGGAGGTTACGAGACTGTTTTCCATACCCAGTCTGGCGAGGAATACAACGTCAACTGGAAGGCCCCCTGGCGCCGTGTGGAGATGATCCCGGCCCTCGAGGAGGCCACTGGTGAGAAGTTCCCACCTGGTGACCAGCTACACACCACTGAGGCGGGTGAATTCCTCAAGAAGGTGCTGAAGAAGACTGGCGTTGAGTGTTCTCCCCCATTGACCAACGCCCGTATGCTTGACAAGCTGGTCGGCGAGTTCATCGAGGAGACTTGCGTCAACCCGACCTTCATTACCGGCCACCCCCAGATGATGTCGCCTCTTGCCAAGTACCACCGCCAGAACGTGGGTCTTTGCGAGCGTTTCGAGGCCTTCGTCTGCAAGAAGGAGATTGTCAACGCCTACACTGAGTTGAACGACCCCTTCGACCAGCGTCTCCGTTTCGAGGAGCAGGCCCGCCAGAAGGACCAGGGCGACGACGAGGCTCAGCTCATCGACGAGAACTTCTGTACTAGCTTGGAATACGGTCTGCCCCCCACTGGTGGTTGGGGTATGGGTATCGACCGTCTGGTCATGTTCCTCACCGACAACTACAGTATCAAGGAAGTCCTTGCCTTCCCCTTCATGAAGGAAGACAAGTCGGCGGCCGAGACCAAGAACGCCGCCGAGGTGGTTGGTATTGAGCCCCTGCCGGAGGAAGGAATTCGTAAGTTTTTGTTCTATTGAAATGCTGCTTCTAAATGAATGAGTACTAACATTTCGTGCCATGTTTAGCTCACAAATAAATTTATGAACTACACGGGATGATGGTTTGTTGACGACTTTTTGTTCTGCACGTTTAATTCGATGTCAATGAAGGGATGCATAAGATCAAGATAACCAATATACCGAGACAGATCGTACATCTAGGTTTACAGCCTCAGCATAGAAAGAAGAGTATGATCGACTTGAGTGTTTCACATTTGTAGCTCAACAAAAGACGTAAATTCGACATATGCCTTCAATTGGTATCCAGTAGACTTGAGCCATATTGAAGCATTAGGAGTACTACTTCACCGCTCAAAACCTGATAGCCCTCCTAATAATAATAATCCACAATGCCTTCCAAGTAAATCCCTTGCAAATAAACCCACGCCTTATAGGGGGTCAACCAAACCACAAGAATCTACAACCAGTGTTATGGCGAGTTCTTCCATCTAGGAACAAGCAAAGAACGATAATACCAAAGAGTGAGATAGGAAGCCACAAACTGCACAAATCCATGTCTCTAGCTCTTGGAAATGGTCTTTAAGCTCTCGAGGAACTAGTTCTTATCTCTATACAGGTTCAGATGAGTATCATCTAACGATATCAAGAAGCGGCTTAGCTTAACCGCTCATAAGCCCCAACACGCCTTTTAAATTCATTCTTCTTCTCCTTTGTTATATTACAGTGAATGCTCTTAAATATCCAGTGACATCATAGCCACATATGTACAATTCATTGACCAAGGACTCTGGACAGATGCAAATCTGCTGATCCATTGATCAGATACCATCATACCAGCCGTCGAACCACTGCATATTTTGTTTTATATTATAGAGCCATTTGGACACTGTAGAATCATTTGTAGCCTACCTTTCTTTTCATAGGAGTAATGTAGGTTGAATGGGGAAACTGCTAAGTACGTGTGAGAAGATACGACATCACCCAAAGTGAATCGCCAGCAACCAAAGTATACAAAAACTCACGGGGTCTTTCATCTGACACAAAACATTTCTGCTCAATCTGTACATTTCAGTATCTCGCTTAGCATTAATACTCCACATCTTCTTTTCTTTTATCATACAATTATCTCCAGATATTCTTTATGTATCTGTTCTTGTAAATCCTAATTCTTTCATTCCTATGCTTCAACTAGTTGTACTACTCTGTTCCAGGTAACCCCATCCCCATTTCTAATCTGTTTTGACGTTTTGAGCGGTTTGATAGGACTGACAAGGAATGATTCAAGCAACTGTCTCTGATACATCCATCAATATGCTAGATAGAGACGAGACGGGCGACAACAGTGACCCTTTCAGGCAACTCCGCTATCTCCCCCCTCCTCAGACAAGCCAGCACCTATTCCACCCCCAACCTATAAGACCTACTGTTGGTCCAGCTTGTCTGGTATGCCATCCTTCAACAACATCTCCCCATGACTGTAATATTCTGATAATTTGGTAAGAGACAGAGCACAGACCCCAGTGGGGCCATAGATTCTTTCTCCCTTCGTGAAAGCTTGTTCGGACAGACAGAGTTGAGCCCCGGTGCCAGACACTTCACTATTGAGAGCCAGTATCTTCAGAGAAGCGCGCCTCGCTTTCCAACCGAGTATGTGAATTGGCGTTTTGGGGACCCCATTCCCTCAGGCTGGAGAGTCACCGTGACGCCTCGCGTCGTTAACAGTCCCCGTCCTGAACAGCATCGCATCTTGGTTCCCGATATTGAGACTTCTGAGTCCTATGAACGTCGCCGGGATATCTCCGCATTGTCCTTGTTCTGTTCACAGCCAGACCACACCGTGATAGAACATGCGGCGATCCTGCACAACATGAGGAATTCTGAATCCGAGCCTGTCATCGCCCAGAACCCCAAAATAGTATTTAGGCCGGGCAGTGCTCTTGAAGACACTAATATGGATTATGGTGATCCTCACAAGCAAAGTTCCCCTAAAGAGACAACCGTCTTGAAGACCACTAATGAGCCGGGCGACACGTTTCCATCTCCTATGCCTGTAATGGGGAAGGAAGTAATACTGTGCGAGTTCGAAGAGTTGACTACGCATACGGCGAAATGTGATGTCTGTAACAAGCGCAATTCTTCCGGAATGTCTCGCTGTCTGACCTGCGGTTGGCAGACTTGCTATCCGTGCACAATTGCCCGTGGTTATTTTCGCACTCACCACGTCAACGGCAATATTCACACTGGTCCCACTAGCCAGAACGATCTAAATGCTGCTACTGAAGAAATCTCCAAAGCGAAGAAGAAGAGCAGTCCGTCCAAGAAGAATAAAGGCTCTAGGAATGCCAGAAAATCCAAGAAAGGCCGCCCGGCCAAGGATAAAACTCTAAAGAAGGCCCCGAGAACACCTTCGAAGTCCTCATTTGTGTCTAACAAAGCAGATACTGACCCGGAGGGTTCCGCAGAGGAGAATAGTGACTCTGAAAGTGAGCTAAATTTTCGTTGTGGTCGGAGTAAAAAGAACTATTATACTGACCCTCAGATCAGATCGTAAGAAACAAAGTGGCCAGGAGGCATGGGACGTAGATTCTATTCTCGATGATGACGCCACTGAGTACCTGCCGGAGGATGACCAGTTGGGGGAAGACGAGGCTAGCACTTGGAGACCTTTAGGTGCCCCGTTGAATCAGGGTAGTTTGCACAGCCGGAACCTCCAGCAAGCCCAACGAGGACATGAGATACGATGCCAAAAGAAGTTCATGGGCCAGAAGTTTGAAACCACAAAGGAGGCTGATGCTGACACGACTCTGACCAAATCGAAAGCCTCAGGACAACGGACTAAAGCTCAGGCTTACTGTCGAAAGCAGCCAGGGACATACTCTCGTTTATGATTTTGTATCAAGATGGAACGATGTGGAGAATGGATTCACCCTGCAGCTATCGGGGCCTACAAATATGCACAGCCACGTTAATGTGCCCCAATCTCATTTATCTCTCCAAAAACGTTGATTTTGACCGGGGCCTAAAGTTACTGATCTTGACGAGTAAAGGACAAGCAGATTATCACAACGTGCCAAAGGTTTATCATTAAACTTGGAAGCCTTTCTCTATTTGTGACAATCTGGGATGCCTTTGTCTTATGATGTATCACACTGTCCTACCGTGGCTACTCTTTCTGATCTTCATTCTATGGTCTTGAGAAGTTCTTTCTTTCAGATTAACAGTAACATCCTCTCCCTGATAAGAGATGTGTCTTGTCTTTTGTCTGTTTGTACATCTTTCCACAAATCAGCCCTTGTTTTCTCTGTCGGGCCTGGATAGATATCTTAAACTTTCGAAATAATAACACATAGGGCGATGGCTTTGCTAACCCTGTTTGATATCCGAGCTGCATAATGGAAAATTTTTTCTTCTCACCGTTGTACAAAACTTGTATAGTTGAGGTCAGTATGGTTGGTTTAACTATAATCACACCAAGAGAGGGATGGGGTTAAACCTGTCATACGATTGAAACTGGCACTATATAATACAAGTACACATCCTGGTGTTCTCTAACACATATTGATATAACCATGGGTGTAGAGAGTAGGGCTTCCGATCCGCTTAAAGTCGGTGGGTTTGCACGCAGCATTCAATCTGAGAGCGGATGGATATCAATTTTATCTGGAGTTGTAGTGGAGGTAGTTGAGCCGCCATTACAACGTACGACTGGCCGTATGTCACTCTCGGAACGGATAGTAGGTCCTTGTTGCCATTTAAGCCGACGACCTTTAAGCGCACTACAACTAACTGCCGGGAGCTATGTTTGAAAGGATGGAGGGCTGGAAGAGGACTGAGTAAGGCCATTAAATCCTAACTAAGATGTCTAAAGTGCTGATGTTTATTTTTGGTATCGTATTCATCTAGAAAACAGCCTCGTCATTATTATCCTCGTCATCGTCGACGTCCATATCATCCTCATCGTCCTCGTCAAGGCCCTCGAAACTCATGAATTGTTCATTCTTGGCGTCGGTCTCCTCCTCAACCACAACGCCATCTTGGACCTCACAGTCCTAAGAAATTTGGTCAGCAGTCGATCTGATTTGCGGGTATGATTCGTACGCACCTTGAGAACGGACTCTCGCCCGACCTGACTGTATCTACCCACTGAAACATTATCAGACTATGAACTCGACTACTTTCTCTTTTTGAATCGCAAACAACTTACCGATGCACCCTGTGAGTACACACTTTGGCCCGATGACCGCATTGTCCATAATTACACATCTAAATGAGATTAGAGACTGTATAGCGTTAGGATGTAGCTGGGCTACAGAACGCCTACCTCGTCAAGCGAGCACCACTGCAAATCTTTGCATTAGGCGAAATGCACGATTCCTTTATAACACACTTTTCCTCCACCTTTCAAAATATTAGTTGAACCATTCAATAAATGAAAGGCAAGGTGTCTTACCGTCACATTGGATCCTAGTAAGCAGTCACCTTTGGTGACAATAGACTTTGAGGCAATTCCTTCAGGAGTAGCAATCTTCGAGGCATGACTGAAAGGCGAAGCAGCAGCACGGCCAACCTCTTCAACAGACTCGAGCTTAGCGAGACGCAGTGACATCGCTAACACCAAAGCGGAACTGTCCACGCGCCGAACGAGTTGCTCAGACGACTTGGTCATGTATGCTAGAATTGATGGCACTTCCACCGAGGACTGGGCATTAGGAGTGGACGTTGTAGACCGGACCTCGGAACCCTGCGCGTGGGTAGTGGTCATGCCGCGAAGATCGATCTCTTCCTCCAATAAATCGCCGTCATTGCTTCCGTGATCTTCTTGGTTCTCATTCTGTCCGCCCAATATCTTATTAATGCCGAGCTTCTCACTCAGTCCGCGCTGCCACTCCGCTTTCGCCCAGTACCCAATCAAGTCTTCGCTAACGGATTCAAACCGCTCCTGGTACTGGGCAAGCGATTGGACCCACTTAGGCAGAATGTATAAGTGTGCATCTCGATAGCTGGTTAACATCTTAACCGAGGCATGCTTCTCAACCAAGGTATGACGGAGTAAAAAGCTCTTATCTTCCTCTATCTGCTCTTTCAATGTATCCATCGGCATCGACAAAACCAGTTTCGAGAGTTTATATCGCGAGATAGCTGGGACCTCATCTTGCTCGAGAGAGGTGATTGCCATGAAATCTGTCGGCTCTTTCTTGACCTCGTCCTTAATGCCTTTCGCGGGATAGAACACGGACAAGCCTCCTTGGGAAGCTGGTCCCAATTCACCTTGTGAGACTAACCATGCCTCAAGAAGATGTTCACCGGGGATATCGCATAGTAGATCGCAGCTTAGGAGCAGGAAATTGGATCGAATGCAAGCTTGGACCTCTGGTAGTCGGAGTAATTCCGCTGTTCCTGTCGTCATCTTGAGATCCTTCGGGGCTATAACGGTAGGTGACGGCGAAGGGAGTGACGTAAGATAAGGATTTTGTTGTAGAGCGGCCTTAAGAGGAGTAAGAGCGGAGGGAGGTGTAATCAGTATGATATCTAAATAGTCAGAAATTATGCTAAAACCGCAGAATACAATACCCTGAAGGAGGCGCGCATCCATTACTCACCAGTTATCCCTGCGCGCTTGCACCAGTCCAGCGGGTAGTACACCATCGGCCTTAGCTGAACATCAATTGATGTTAGTGACTTCCTGCTATTGGAGCCGGCTCTGAGAATCGCCAACACATACTGCTATGGGAATTAAACATTTTGGATTCTCTTCCGGGTTGGAGGAAATCGTATTCAAGCTCTCGCCGGGACCACAAAGGATCAAAGCTTGGAAACCACTGCTCGGTACTGGCGTTGAATGCACCATTTTGTCTTTGAGCCCCGCGGGCAATGGTGGGGTGAAAGAATTGGGATAAATTCGGCCGGTGCGGCTCGGAGAAGGCGTTTCGGAAGGGCTTCGGTGATCAAGAAGTAAACGGAAAAGTACCGTATGACAAGTCGCCGCGGTTATCCTTGATTCTCTTGTCACAAAAATGAGAGTCGCGAAACCACCAGCAATAGCTTGTGATTCCACTCGCGATAACTGCGGAGGTTTTTCTTCGGAGAGCTGCACGTGACGATAGGTGAGTCAGGTACCGCTATCAAGCAAACAGTGCAAATTAACAGGGCCCTAGCTTCCTCGCCGCCCTGTAGATTCCTTTGTTGATTGATATCTAATGTCAGTTGGAGTCTCCAACAACTAATGGGTGGTCTTGCTTGCTATAAGGGGCAAGCGATGCTATTAGCCCGAATACGTATTAATAAATCTCTTTCAAAATACAATGCATGTTTTCCTATTGTACAATATAAAAGTAGAGATTATAACACATTCAAGAATGATCTAAACATTCGTTAGTATAGCATGGTATTTTAAAGAGGCTGGCTAGGCCAGTAACGACCTGTCCCATTTTCAGCGGTGCGAAAACCCACTCAAAGCTTACGAGGACCATGAGCAGCCGCACCGGACATTGCTTGGCCACGGGCCTTGACTGCCATCTGCAGAAGCTTGGCAGTCCTCGACGGGTGCCAGACCCGGCTTCCGAGAACCAGAACCCAGGTCAGAAGGAACAAGCTTCCAGCCTGATGGGCAGAGGCAAGAGGGGTGGGAACAAGATAGAGCAGTGTGGAGATACCCAGGCCGACCTGGCAGAATGCAAAGGCAACAACCCCGTGCACACCCTTCTTAGCAGCAGGTGGGAGAAGTCGCTTCATGGTAGGGGACCGACGAGTGTATGCCCACAAAGCCATAATGGTAGTGAAGGTGGTCATAGCCAAGATACGATGGTCCAGTTGAACAAGGGACGGGTTTTCAAGCATATTCCTCCACCACAGATCAGATCTGTCCTCATGACGTGAATACCTTTCGTCGAAGAGCTCCGACTTGGGCGGAGCCAGTCCTGTGCCCATAGTGGGAAACTCGTTGTAGATGAGACCTGCATCCAGACCAGCAACCAGAGCACCAGACATGGCCGTCACGAAAACAAGAGCTGCCAAACCGGCAACCGAGCGACGAAAGATCTTGAGTTTGGGGTCACGGAGCGAGTCCAGCAACTTGATGCCAGCCTCAGGATCGGCCAACAGGCGGCGTGAACGGAGTATAGCAAGACCGTTCCAAAGCATCGCAACATAGCAGAGGAATGCAGCTCCAAGGTGCGCCGTCAAACGGTACTGGCTCACCCGGGGGTGGCTGCCTGGTGCAAAGAGATCATCCTTGAGACCGGACTTGACCATCCACCAACCGATAAAACCTTGGAAACCGATCAAGCCAGCAATACCACCAAGCCGCAATGCCATTGGCTTGCTAACCTTCTTGCGAGCTACGAAATAGAGAGCCGGAAGCACGAACGACAGCCCAACAAATCGACCCCAAAGACGGTGAATCCATTCCATGTAGTAGATCGACTTAAACTCAGAGAGGGTCATGTGCGGGTTCAACAATTGAAATTCAGGAGATGCGCGATACTTTGCGAACTCAGACTCCCAGTCTTCTGCGTTCATAGGGGGAAGAGATCCGGTAACGGGACGCCATTCTGTGATACTCAGGCTATACCAGTTGGCTGTCAGTATTATTATCAGGATACTTCTTTAGGGGGGAGCGCACCCAGATTCTGTCAATCTGGTGAGACCACCAAAAACCACAATACCAAAGACGCTAGCCGCACTGCCTAGCAGCCAGTATGCCACCGTCTTGTCGCTGACTTTAGGAAAGCTGGATTTCGCATTGGATGCCCCTTCCTCTACAGCACTTGCTACTGCGGAATCTGAGGCCGATCTTTTGAAGATGTTGGGAATTGCGGTTTTCGTTCTCGAGAATGAAGCAGGCAAATTGAGCTTGCTGGTATTCTGAGTAAAGGGCGAGACAGCGAGATTCTTACGGAAAGCGGATCTCGTCGCATAATTCTGGCTTCGCCCTAGACATTGACGGCAGGTGAAGATTTCCTTGGACAGCCGGGGAGTAAAACTCCGCATGAGGGACACGGAGCTCCCCAAGGAAGCCATAATGAGGGCTATGGCAGCAATTGATGTTTGGAGAAATTGTCTGATCTTTCGAGACAAATAAATTGCGGGAAGTTGCGGACAGACGAGAGGCGGAGACCCCGAGGAGCGCGAACCAATCATGGTGGCATGATTTCATCGTCTGTTGACGTTTAGTGATTTTCCAACAATTTCATATGCAATATTAACATTGATGATTCGTTAGTTGTAAAATGCATACATTTCACGCTTCTCTAGCTGCTGTTGAGGTTTAACATACACAGTTTCCTATCGAATTGACCCAGCAAAGGGGTTGCGTCCGAATATGTGCCTTAGCTACAGTATACTAGTAGGAAAAGTGTACGAATCGAACCATCAATTTCCCCCAACTGCATATGGAACACTTTATAAACAGTTATTGATGTGACAGATAACATTACCATCGTACATACATTCTTTAGAGAATATCGAATGCAGCAGGGAATATGTTGAAAACCCTGTCACTGATCTGGAAATTTATAACATTTGTTGTCCTGAGGCACCTGGTAGATAAGTGCCTATCCGGGTTTAGCGCCTTTAGCTCCGATCATCTCTTAGAATGGGATTGCCAACCAACACAACAGCTCCAAGGTCATTCTCTATTCACCTACAAAGGACGTCCCGCGCACGTCTAAGAATATGTCGTATGCTGTGGAAACTAAGAAGCGCAAGTTTCATCGAGTTCTGGAATCATTGACGAAACCTTCGAATGCCGAATCCTCGACCAAACCTACCCCCGCGGCAACTACAGCAATAACAGCAGCAATTACAAATGAGCGAATCTCCGCGGATTTGGCAGCGAAAAAGGCTCGCTTGAGTGATCGTCAGGATGGGACTGATCTTGCATCTGTGCGAAAAACGGTTTTGAGGGTTGCTCGTTCAAGCTCTCGAGATTCGTCAGTGTCGTCCTCCTCGCGGCCGAGTTACGTCCCTTGGGATCGCGAGCGTTTTCTTGAAAGACTGGAGACATTTCGCCGGGTTGATCGATGGTCACCGAAACCGTCGGCGATAAACGAGCTGGAATGGGCTAAGCGTGGCTGGATCTGTACAGATGTGTCGCGAGTGGCATGCGTAGGAGGGTGTGGCGGTTCCGTTGTCGTCAAACTGCCAGATGAGCTCGATGAGCTCGATGGGTATGACAGCGAAAAGGTACAAGAGAGGAAGGAAGTTCGTAAGTTGTGACTGCGTTATTTCATCTTGGATTTATGGTGAACATACCGTACTAATTGTGGTATAGGCGCCAAACTCGTCGAAGAATATGCTACTCTTCTACTGCAAGGGCATGGCGAGAATTGTCCATGGCGAAACAGGGGCTGCGATGGTTTGTCCTCATAATGCAAATTGTAAGACTCCCGACTGACTTGCTTAATAGCTACGATCCATCGTTTGGCCTTATCCAACCCCGATACAGCAATCTCTGGTCTCCGGACACGCTATCTGAACATCGCTAAGATGGCCGATCAGCTGCCATCTCAAGAAATCATCCAGACCCCTGAGCCATTTGACCTCGAGACCATAATCAAGATATTGCCAGATGATTTCCAGAGAATTGAGGAGCATACCGAGATAGCTGTGCCGCAAACTCCTCAACGCGTCGATGAAAACCAACTGGATTCCGTTCAAAGTCGATCTACGCGAGAAACCTCGATTAACCGGACGGCTTTTGCACTTGCTTTCTTTGGGTGGGACTCCGTCGCAGATGGTGCGGCAGGTTTGGCAGGCTGTGGTGCCTGCTTCCGGCGCTTGGGTCTCTGGATGTACAAACCGAAGGACAACGGCGATATATCTGTTTACGATGCACTCGACGTTGCTACTGAGCACATGGAGTACTGCCCATGGGTCAGCGGCAAGGCTCAGAGCGGTACCGGAAAGCCATCTGAGAAGTCAGCCGAGCTACGCAGTGGATGGGAACTCCTGGCTCAAGCGCTCAAAGTGAAACATCGCCGACATATTAGATCAACGGTGTCTGTAGATAGCCGTGCTGTTTCCGAAACTCCCTCGGCGGATGGTCTGGCAGTTGACGAAGAAAACAGTGAAGCCAAAAAGGCTAGCGACCGCGAATGGTGGGCAAAGCTACGACGGATGAGACAAGTACTGAATGTCAAGTCTCCAAAGAAACCAACTGCGCCATAACTTTGTTCTTCATTGTTTCTCGGGTCTGCTTTAGTTATGCGAGCGTGGCGTTACGGGCATTTGTATTCACGCGTTAATGTCTATTTGTATAGTACCTAAACATACCATAGAGCGAGTTATTTTATTGCTCAATTATATATTGCATAACGATGCGCTAAACCTTTGTGCTGGTCTGCCGGTTTTGACTCTGTCCTGACACCCTCCCTACAGCGGCGTATGTTGTCAGTTGGGAAGTCATACAAAGTCGAAAGGAAGATATAAAGGAAAGCTGATGGTTACACCATTAAGCCTGCTACTCCATGATCCGAGTCATTTCAAACACGTAGAACAATGTATTTTTTTCTTTTTTGGGCTTGATCATAAGGTTTCGCCAGCCCCCATTTTGATATTTGGATGATGGGCAAGAACGAGGAAATATACAACCCACATATAGCGCTACCTTTCCTTCGATAGTCGATGCACACTACCTTTCATGGAGACTTCCGGTGACACTGCCATAATGAGCAAAGAAAGACAACGATGTGCTCAAGATGATTGACTCCCGGATGCGGTCAAAGGAAACCCGGTTTGCGCAACGCAGACTTAACCATAACCAGAGTCAGGAAAGAGCGCATCGTCGCAAGCTGTTCCTTTCACTCTCGCTTTAGACAAGTTACATTTATAATCATGATTTTTCCAAAGTGTCGAGAAATAACAGCCACCCGAACTGCGCGTCATGGCTGATGAGAATCCGCAAGCGCAAGGTGCGGAAGGCGGAGGCAGTAAGGGTAGGAGGAGCAGCATGTACGATCCTGCACGGGACTCTTGGGAGGCTCAGCAATCATCGGCTGTACCATCAACACAACCCCAACCTGCTCAATCCATTTCAGCTCTAGATAATCCACCGGCGCAAGAGTCTTTTCCTTCGGTAAGTGTCTTGTGTTATGTCTTGCGAGGATTATTCCCTGTCTTTTTGGAATCCCTCAATGCCCGCCTAGTTTATTCCCGCCTGCAGTGCATTTGCGTGCCGATCCAATGATTTCAACTTCAGACTTTTTTCAGAGAAATTTAATTCACTTTGTCAAGCTTTTGCGACTCATTCAAAATAAGCTCAACCTCCCCTTGCTAATAAGACTGGGATTATATCAGGTTCTCGGTGGACCTTCCCCGACGACGCAGTCCGCGGTGCGAAACACAACGTCCGCTCATCAAGAACAAATTTCTCGTGATCCACTCCCACTTTCAATAGAATCCGAGAACACAGGGCAGAAGCCATCGCGACTATCAGACGCATATATATCACCTAGCAACTTCAAAATGTCTAGCCCACAAGCTGCCAGTCCAGCCCCAGAGTCTACCGAGGCTCACAATGGAGCTCTTGCCTCTCCTACGGTAGCTAGCCTGAAAACAATAGATATACGGCAACGAAGCAGAAACTGATAGAGAAACAGGCTGTACAGGAGGAACCAAAACCTGGGTATTCCAAGCGCAGGCGTCTCCAAGAACGACATCAACAACTACGAAAGCGTGGCAGAACACCCCCATCAGCTTACGCTCGTCGCGACATGAATGAGACGGCGCGGCAGTCCAACCGTAATGAACCGTCAAACAGATCTCCCTCACCCCTCGCTCCACCGCGTTCTCCATCGCCCGACGCGCAGGCGCGTAAGCGCAAGCGCCCTGGCGGTGGTGCCCGGATGGGCTTGGTCGATCGCGAAACTCTGCGTCGGAAACAGGAAGAAAGAGAGCGTTCCCAGCAAGAGGAAGCTATGCGATTTTCTCAGAACCGTGGGGTGACTGACATTGTCCGTCACCACTACAATGCTGTACCCCAGCGCGGAAGAGAGTGGCGAAAGACCGAGAGTAAGATTAAAGGCCTACGAAGCTTCAACAACTGGATCAAAAGCACTCTCATTCAGAAGTTCTCACCGGATGAGGAGTTCGTGTCTAGGTCCATTGGCACCAAGGACTGGGCGGATGACACCGCCCCGCCCCCCATGGAAGATAAACGTCTGTTGGTTGTAGATCTGGGGTGTGGCAAGGGGGGTGACTTGGGCAAGTGGCAGCTAGCTCCTCAACCAGTGGACCTCTATGTTGGACTGGATCCAGCCGAGATTTCTATTGTCCAAGCGCGCGAGCGTTACAACGGTATGCGGACTGGGCGTGGGCCAAGGGGGCGGCGTGGGCCTCTCTTCCATGCCGAGTTCGCTCCTAAGGATTGCTTTGGGGAGTATCTGGGGGATGTCCCTATTGTTCAGCAAGTAGGCATTGACCCCAATGCCGGGCCAGGTGGATCGGTGATGAGTTCACGCTGGGGCGGCGGTGGTTTCGATGTGGTAGCATCGATGTTCACGATTCATTACGCATTTGAAAGCGAGGAGAAAGCAAGACAGATGCTGCGCAATGTAGCTGGGTGTCTGAAGAAGGGTGGCCGATTCCTGGGAGTTTGCCCCAATTCGGACGTCATCAGTGCACGAGTGGCGGAGATGAATGCGAAGCGAAAGGAGCGCGAGACTGCAGCCAAGAAGGAGGAGGAGGAGGAGGAGGCAGAGCCTGAGGATGGAGAGGTTGAAGAGGACGATAATAAGATTGAATGGGGCAATTCAATCTACAGAGTTCGATTCTCGGGTGATACTCCTGAAGATGGAATCTTCCGGCCTCCTTTCGGATGGAAATACAGCTATTTCATGGAAGAGGCCGTAGAAGAAATCCCGGAATATGTTGTGCCATGGGAAGCCTTTCGAGCGTGAGTTTAGCCTGCCAGTCCCACTATCACGGTACCGTTACAATAGACTGACTGTCTTAGATTAACGGAGGATTACAACCTCGAGCTCCAGTATCGGAAACCGTTCTTGGAAGTCTGGGAAGACGAGAAAGACGATCAAGAGCTGGGCCCCTTGAGTGAACGCATGGGCGTTAGGGATCGAAACACCGGCGCCCTGCTCATGACCGAAGAAGAGAAGGAGGCAGCCAGTGAGTATTCATCGTGGTCAGGAATGATATGCTTGCTAACATGGACAAGGTTTCTATCACGCATTCTGCTTTTACAAAGTCTAGTTTCCCTAGATGTGTATACACTTCGACCGTCTATCAACTCAATTTCTCTCCAAGCTCTTTGGCGCATATGGTACATGTCAGTCAATCACTAGCTCACATTGCTATGCAACATTAGACTCCACAATAAGCCCAAACCGAGGCGATGGCATATATAATAAATAAATTCAATGATACTATACCTACCGTCAAGTAACCACCCGTAGGCCCGGGCAACCTCTACCTTATCCCCCAAAGCCAGACACCTCCATGCTCGGCTCAGTAGTAGAAAGATGTATAACCTAAACGGGCCTAGCGCCGTCGCGTCGCGTGTATAATCTCTTATCAACCAAGCCATCACTCACTCCAATACCGATTCCTCCCCACCAAAAACAGCAGGACAAACGCCCTCGCTCTCCAATCCACCTCAAAAATACGAAGTCGCACATCGCCCAGAACCCAACTCCAAGTGCGCAACTAAGCTTTCCCCAACCAGAAAACCCACCTACCAACAATTCACCCACGCCAACCATCACCAAAACCAAGAAACGACCAAGACCCCGACAAAGAAAATAAAAAGAAAAGACAAGAAAAGAAAGGGGGAAAAAAATGACAACCCCAAGTACATCACGACACCGATCCCGCCACTTAAGCAGCAGCGCCCAACGCCATACCCAAACCCTAAGCCAACGATCCCGAGCCACAACACCCCCACTCCCAGCCTACGAAGCGCCGATCGCACCCCTGCACACCACAGCCCAAAACAAGCTCCTATCACTCCTTAAATCGCAGTCGCTGCGACCATTGAAGACGCATCTCCAGCACGCGGAGGAGAAGCTGACCGATTCGGCTGGGGAGGTTAATGAGCGGCTTACTGATGCGCGGGTGCGGTTGCAGCGATTGAAGGAGCGGAGGGGGGAGAGGGAGAATTTTGATGAGAGGGAGGAGGATGGGGTGCAGCGACAGCAGGAGGATACTGATGATTGGGAGGAGAGGTTGAGGGAGTTGGAGGGGAGGGTGGGTGGTGTTACGGAACGGTTAGAGGCGAGGATGCGGGGGACAATTGATGGGGAGGTTAGGGTTGATGGGTTGGTTGGGGTTCTAGGGACGGTTGAGAGGGAGGTTGAGCAGGATGGCAGTTCTGAGAGGAGTATGAGGAGGAGGACTAGAGGGCGAGGCGGGGAGGAAGACGATGATGAGGATGATGAGGATTACGAGGAGGCGGAGAGAGAGGACGAAAGTGTGCCGCCGTCGAGGAGGTTGGATGAGTTACTTGGGGAGAATTATGTGGAGTGGGATAAGCGTTCTTTGACGCAGAAGTATGTATATGTTCTATTGTTGGTTTTATCTGATTTTGAGGCTGATTGGGATGTTTTGTGCGCCAGGTACTCGTCCAACAATGCTTACATTGGGTTCTATCGGATTATTCACGAAGCGAAACACCCCGGCGAAGATATTCCTCCCCTACCGCATGCATCAACGTGGTTCTCACATCTGGAAGATCCAACTAAGGCTTCGGCGCAAACGCCCGATTCCTCGGTCCGGCGCACGCGTCGTCGGAGATCTCCATCTCCGGCGGACTCGGATGAGATCGCCATCGAGAGCGAGCGCATATCGCTCAAGTGCCCCCTTACTTTACTTTACTTCCAGGACCCTGTGACAAGTACCAAATGTCCGCATAGCTTTGAACGCGAGGCGATTGAAGATATGATTGCGCATAGTTCGACGACTGTTCCCGCGCCCCAGCCGGCGGGAGCCGCCGGCCGCAGCGCACGTCGTGTTCGCTCCGTTAAGTGTCCGGTGTGCTCGGTTGTCTTGACTGCGGCTGATCTCCGGTCGGATCCTGTTTTGGTTAGGAGGGTGCGCCGATATGAAGCAGCGTTGAGACGGGAAGCGGAAGATGATGAGTTATCCGACGGGGCGCGGAGGAGACGGTCTGGGGCGAGGAAAAGTGGGATCACTCTCGTTGACGATGACGGGGCCGAGGACGAAAATGGGATGGATGTGGATCCGGAAGAGAATTCGGATTCAGATCGTAGGCAGGACGAGGAAAGTTTCGGCAGCCAAGATCATGTACGAATCAAACAGGAGATGAGTACAGCTCCTGTCGATGATGATTAGTTGATGATCATTTCGAATAATACCTCTGTAAATTCAATAGATACCGGACGGCGTTGCTCGGGTTTCAAACAAAATTGTTCTAGTTTGTTATTCAACTAACCTCTTCTGAGAATTGATATTATTGATTGACCCGGGATTAAACATGTCTGGCAATCGGAACTGCTTCCTGGAGTACATACAACACCCGCTGAAAGCTGGAGCATAAACCATGATCTCCGCATGTCCCACTAAAGTTGACATGAGATAACAGAAACCCAAGTAAACTCCAGTACGCCCGCAGTAAACAATACTAACATCAGAAGAAGAAAAGCCAGAAGAAAAAAGAAAAACAATTCAAGACCGCACTAACAGGGGTATTTTCCAAGGGGCTATTGTTCTGCCTCAAAGTCGTCATAGGACACACGGCTTTGTTCCTAATAACGTGCTGATATTCTCGATACGCATCCGATAAACAGCTCGCTAAAAGACTTCCAGCTGAACAACAAGTAGCGGGATATTCTATTAACACAGAGCTCTAGAGCGACTAGAACTGGATGATTCTGCTGCGGTCGCATCGTATTCTGGACGTCGCACTTCCCAGAGTGAACAGGAAGCAAACGTCCTTGGGTCCGATAGCGCAAGAAGATCGGTGATTCAATCATTGGAAGTCGACACATTCGAGCGAAACTCAACACGTTTCTTTCTCTACACCAAGCGACTCTTGAACTGTCGTCCAATTAATGAATGTTGACTCGTTTACTTGGTAATGAGGTTGAGATAATCCGCCACGATAAGCGTGACCATCCTAAAGTGGGTCCGTGGGGTTAGTGATAAGCACTTAAGTAAAAAACGGCGTGGAGAGTGGGGAGACTAACGCATGGGGTGCGATCCGCACATAGTACGTCCCGAATCCGCGGTAAAACCTCAACCAACCCTCATCCTTGGCAACTTTGCGAGCGCAATCCAGAACACCCTTGTACGGCACCTGGCCGGTCTTAGGATTTTTCTGCTGCTTCTGCAGACGAGTCTTGATGAAGTCGAAGGGTAAAGAAAGGAAGCTGGCAAAGAAACCAGCGATCGCGGAAGCAGCAAAAGTCTGGTTTTGAGCCGACAAGGACGTATGGGCCTTCAACTGAGCCTTAGATTCAGCAAAGAAGGTCAACTGACCGACATTGAGAGCCATGGCCCGCACAACGGTCGGTAAAGCTCCGGCCCACAAGGCTGGGATGCCCTCATTCTTGGAGATGCGGAAGAGTGCATCCACCACCGAACGGTAGTTTGCTCGCGCCTCTGGGGGCTTCAAGCCGTCGGACTGCATGCGCACAAGGGCTAAATCGGCCGGATTACCAATCATAGCAGCAATTCCACCAGCGGTGAGACCCGCACCGGCGCGCTCCGCGAAAGTGACCTTTCTATTTGCGGCTTCGGCGCGTTTATTGAGCGTTTTGCTAAAAGTATCGAAGAAACCCAGACGGGCAGTAGTGTAGACAGCCTGGCGGAGTAAGCCTGCCGACAGACCAGTATAGAGATCAAGGATCTTTCCACCGGCAATGATATCGCGGGCAACGCCGAACGCGGTCGGGCGAGGGCCGGTTCGTACACCCTCCCCTGCCAACTGAAGGCGCACCTTGATCATGTCAATTGGCTGGATGACGGTGGTCGCTGTCATGCCCGCTAGGCCACCATTAATGAAAGGAAGGGCCGTGCGGGTGTAGGGGTGGTGTAGAAAGTCCATCGCGGCCTGAGATTCTTTGGTAGTTGGAGAAGCCATTTTGCTGATCGCAAAGAGGAATTACAATAAGCCTGGAAGGTCAGCACACCGTTGTGATACCTGGTGGGAATTTAAGCAGATGATGATAAGAGTAATGAGAGCAGAGCACGTGCGATCATTCACTAGTCGATGGTAGAAGTAATCAGGAGACGTTACGCAAGTGCGGCTGGAGACGTATGACGGTGAGGAGAAAAAGAATTGATGAAGCTTACCAGCGAAGGATACGGTAGTATATAGCGGGATACTACACGAGAGACACGAAAGGAGGGGAAGAGGAGGAATAGAAACAGATCCGAAAATAGAATCCGACGTGGACGAGAAAAAGCAGGGAGGTAAGTGAGGGGAAAGAAAAGAGATCGACTGAAATAGAAGGAAACAGTAGAGTGAGTTCTGGTAGCCAGTCAGATGATGAAGCGTGACACTGCGGGGGATTGAACAGCACATGTACAGTCAAGAAATTTGGTTCAGTGCTAGAGGATATTCTCGGGTTATAAGTTTTTTTTGGTAAAAAAGTTAACGAGGAAAGCATGAATTAGGAACCGACCTTATTTCCGAACCAGGCACGGTCAAGGCGAATGGCGATACATTAGAGAACGAAACGAAGCTGACTGGCAAGTAAGTAGTAGTACTTTCTCATGTAGCGATCTTCGCTGGATACTAATACCTAAGGAGGTCCCCACAATCTAAGCATGTCTCCGGTCCCTCTGGTACCTCTCCATACACGTCATAGTACTAAGCAAAGCTCTAGAGTAAGGATTAACCTATGCATCAAGCCGCTACGAATGCGGGGAACATTCATGTTGCTGAAGACTCTGGGGGCAACGATCTCTTCATTAAATCGTATAATAATTTTTTTTTAACTAGATTTCTAGTCAGGAGACATAATCTGGATATCATGATCTGGAATACTAAAATGATGAGAGTTCCCCTCTTTCTCAGCCAAAGTATATTCACTCGAACCATAGTCATAGTCATGGAATAGTACTATGTATGTACTAGTACAAGCTCCACTGCATGTCACGTTCTATGCAAGTGGGGGGTCGTAATATTACCGTATCGATGCTTCACTCGGGGAAGAACTAGTCCGTTTGTGGTTCCACGATAACCCGATCGATTTTCCGATACCTGATCAATCTATGAGAATACTGTCTATTTGCACGAAGACCAAAATGCATTTTCAAATCTGTCAGTAATTATATAAAGGATACAGATACTTAACTATACATATTGATAATTATATATAAATTGAACCAGCCAAATGCGTATTCAATCTATATACGTATGTGCGCATGTACTATACAGGCGATCTTCAAACAAATACCAGTCCATCCACCCGAGCCAGGCGTACCCGAGGATATGATAAATACTAAGTGGTAAGATCGACTGTATGACTGAGTAATTTTCTTCCGCCGTGCTGGCTCGGGCGACTCCCCGGGACCCAATCGGAGGAGCGCAATTACTGAGGCCTTGAACCTATGATGGGAGTGTGTCTGCCCGGAATTTGTAGGGGCGGCACATGTATCTTCATACAGACCTAGCCATAGGCCTGTTTGTGGTCAGTTCAAAGACCGTTCTGCATATAGTTATTCCGTTTGATTTCGCAATTTCATTAAGATACATCGCAACGACAACTGAAAACATATCCGTATCTCCATTCACCCACACAAGTCCTAGTCCTTTCCTCCGAGGGATACCCGGGGCCCGATAACCGGCACTTACTATACACATTAAGGCAAGTAGCAAGAAAATTGATTAAATAGGATTAGGTTCCTTTACGAGTCAGCAATAAGGCAATATACTGCACGACACATGGAATCCGGACAACTGTTCTCCGGTATAGATGGGATACTCATTAGGGGTTAGTGATGACTACATCGCGTACCACCGTACGGGCGTCCAGTTTCTCAAAAGTCTGCCTTGGTGTACTGGACAATAACTGGTCCCATTGTACATGCACTTCCTGGCTGGATAGCTTGGTACTTTCCGAGAAGAAAGTGTACTACTATGTAGAACTTTCAGTATCGAATCGAATTAACACCCCTGATACGATCTATGACTGGGTATAGGGAGTACTTTCTATTGGTCAATGGTTACCAAACCGCTAGGTGACAAAAGATCGACTTCTGTATTGTGGGCTGTATGAAATCGGAAAATATCGTTCACGTGGTCAGGTTGTGCAGATACAAGTCGACACATCCTACCTGGAAACACTAATAGAGAATACCGTACAAACCTCAACAGGCCAAGATACAGTCAACCCAGTCCAATTCTAAATGATCAACCCCCAACAAATCCACGGAGCCATAGCCGCGGAAAACATTCCGGCAAAGAGATGCCCAACGGCATAGGTCGTCGGACTGCCAAGGACGACTCATCATGGTCAGGGTCGTCTCAGTTCTTACTCGGGCCAGAACCGGGAGTCCCAGGCGGAAGCTGGACGGGAGGCGGGAAGTAAAGGGTGGAAAGTCGGTAATGAGTTGTTCTCCACCCGCTTAGCTACGAGGTCAGTGTGCCGATAGAGTATCCGGAGCTCTTATCGTGGGTGCCTATCGAACTGTCAACTAAACCTTGTGGGGAGCTAGGGCTTTGGCAAATCATCGAATTGCCGATTCTCGCTGTTTCTATCGGAGGTTTAATCACGTTGGTTATCACGAAGCCATCGTTGGTTGATAACGGTCGCGGGTGGTTATTGGATTTCTTGGTGACCTTATGTTGAGGCTGTACGCAGGTCTTTTCTGCAACTCGCATTGCAATCATAGAGCTGGACCTCCTGGGGATGGACCGTTAGAAGTAAGTTGAATATATGGTTGGATCCTAAGACTCATGGCAATGCTGCCGCACAGAAGAGCCCTAAGACGAGGACAATAACACGAAGGTTTTATTCAAGTGCCCCGGATAACTTAGTCCCTGCACCGAAGAAGGACAAGAAAAGGAAGAAAAGGAATTGTGAATCTGCTTGCAATCATTCGACGGGCTTTACAGAGATTCGCGAAGATACCCCCAACAAGAAACCAATTGAACAGGTCCCATCGTATCACATCATCTATTGAGCCTTGCAATGGCTACGTTGAAACCTTGAACAGAACTTGCCTCGGGTAGTCTCCCCTCGGAGCTATCACCACCTCCTTTACAAGTTTTCATGGCTCGGTATGAGAAACATGCTAATGCTGCTGCCAAGCGAGTTATATACGGTTCCCGTGGAAGCTGGATTTCTATCTCGAGATTGTGAAAGTGAATTACCCTAATCCACTGCTTAAACTGCTCGATAGGTACCTTGACCACGGTGGAAACATGCGGACGATTAGGATTTGTGTTTTATTATATCTCAATCCCCCCTTTGCAAAATACATCCTCTAACTTTTTAACTACAAATTGTGTTAGTATGACCCTGTATCTGAATCACCCATCAATATTCGAGGATCTTCAGTTGAAGGATATCCTACTAACAAATATCATCATCGTCTTCGAGTTTTATTAAACAACAATCCGGGGGTTACTTGCCTCGGTCGACTAATGTGCATTGCAAGGGTGTTTTACTGAATCTTTCCAAGCACTGATTTGAGGTATACAATACGTAGAAGGTCTTTTGACTTGGCCAACAACCTTCAACAATAAACACGCTTTTACTCGAACGAAAGGTCTAGGTTTCCAGTACTAAGTACATGCAATTGAATCTTTCAGAATTCTTTTATCATTAATCAGTTGACTGATACATAAAGTAACAACCCCATACCTCCTAAATTACAGTAAACTGTCATCTATAACGACAAACCAGATAGTCATGAGCGCGAGGGTCACTATCAGATTGACCGAAGACAACTACACAAATGATTGCCAGGCAGCGCAGAGCACTGTTTTGACGTAGACGATTAGTAGACAGCTGATGGCCGGTCACGTCGCCATCGACATTATATGTAGACTTGACATTGCAACTAAATTATTCGACGATTGCGCATGTACCCTAAGGCTGTTATGCAACTTGACTGCTCAACTCCAGATAATAAACAGGCTTGTCTGGAAATCTATTATCACGAGATTCGATATTACGTCTAGTTCCTTAAACCCCTAGTTGTTGCTCTCCGACCGTTTACCATATGCTGCGAGAAACTCTGTTCATTCCAGTAAGTATGAGCGAGCTTTGATGCTGGATGGACCTGCAGGCGGAGCTAACATACCGCCGAATGAAATTTTGCCATCGCCGTTCCAGTCCAGCTTTTGGATGTGATTATTGATATCTTCTTCGGTCAAATTTATGCGCCCTTCTTCTATAGCAGCCTTGAGCTCATCATAATCGATAAAATCTAATGGATATAAAGCGTGAGATATTGGAGGCAGTAGTTCGACAGGGAACGGACTTACCATCATAGTTCTTGTTCTATAATATTTACTGACATTAGCAGAGTTTGTACATATCGACCGCATGTACTCACAAGCTTATGGAACTCTTCCGTCACCCTGTCTCTCTCTTCACGGGAGTAGGGAGGCTATCGTATCGGTGATGTTAGTACAAGGTAGAAATTATGAAGGAGAGCCGAGCAACTCACCATATTGTAGTTTGCTCAATAGGGTCTTGTTTCACTTGTAGAATTGGGAGTTTGCACCAGGATCTGAGTTGACTTTGCGAGACGAGGCAGATTAAATAGCCAGGCCGATAGGTGGGGCTTTCACGCTCCAGTTTGCCATAGTGGGGATGGCTGTGTTCAGCTCAGCTGAAGTGAGGGGTACATGCATGTAGATTGGCAAAAGTAGGTGCTTCGGAATAACACCATTGCTCCACTCTTTTGGTGGGAAGAGATTTGGTCCTAAAGTGAAATGCAATGTGGCATGCGATGTGAGTCTCAAGTGGCTATACGAGTGGTGGCACAAAGTTGCCGTTCTCAGAGCCCAAGAGAATGTCGAAAGTGATCCCAATATCTACACCTTAGCACAGGGATATTCTGAAATGGGTCCCACAGAAACACTCAGTCTAACCAAAGGCAGCAAAGGTGACTCTTCTTCTTTATCTCGAGATATAGCCAACAAACGTAAGTGCTTCAATGGGCCAATCTAGCAACGCATCAACCAGTTGCACTAGCATAACTGGGCACCGCACATGCTAACTCTGCCCGATAGTCTTTGCTGAAAGAGCATTGGTAAGGTATCCTTTGGTGTGTGGGTGTGAGTGTGGGTCCACATCAACTTAACAGTATAAATTAAATGGGAATATACGCAATACATTAACTTGCTATTATCTGCAGCTAAGCAACTCACCAATAGAAGCTTTTACTAATCTGTTTCTACAGAAAATTGGAATGAAGCTTCACGATATGCTCCGAACTTGATTTTCTCCGCTCATTTGGATATGGAGGCAAGCAAGTGATGCTCTGCTCTTGCACATGTGGGAGATATCAACTTTTTAAATTATGCCACTAAGTGTATTCCTCGCTTGGTTGCTCCACATAGTGAGTGATGTCACAGGCGATAATACATGGCTCTGGCGATGGAACTCCATCAACGATATGGTTGATTTAAAATCCAGAATGCAGTGCCTTCAGCATTGAGAAATGCGTGTAGAGACTTATAGAATATGGTGTATTTGCCTTAAGTGCTTGCTGGTGTGCACGGTTACATACGATGTTCGGATGATTACAGATCATTCCAGCTACAAGCGCTCTGTATGTTTCTTCTTACGGATAACTGATTAGAAATGCATGGAGAGGTGGAGAAAAAATGAAAGAGAATTGGTGAAGGATCCACTAAGATAGAACTAACTGACCGTTGAGCCGGATTGGTTCCTAAGCTGGTGGGGTTAGTTAGCTCAGATCTGAGTAAATCTTTCTTATTTTTATTTATTTTCTTTTTAATTTTTTGAAGACCACCTGAGAGTTGTTAGGCTGATTGTTGATACACTTTCTTCGTAGAGGCGGCAAAGAGGAATGAGGGTGAAAAAGCACTACTAGGAGAAAAGGTGGGCATGCATATATTTAAGTCTAGCATATAATTTCATTCCTTTTTATTTCACAGGTACTATGGACCAGTCTGGATAGCCAAACCCATATTCAATCATAAAGGAAAAAGTATAACCGAACAGAATGCGAAATGGTATGACCCAGCTTGTCTTGTCAAGCTTTTTTAAATGACCCAAAGAATAGAACGCGACACGCCATGCAATATAGAAAAGCAAAAGGGAATCAGTTGACAAAAGGAAATCAAGCAAAAAATAGCAAACATTTTATGCCAGCACTGGACCAGCCTCGATAACCTCCTTGGTTGCCTGGTCGGCGTACTTGGTGAAGTTCTCGTTAAACAGCTTGGCGAGCTTGTTGACCTCATCCTTGAAGCTGGTGGATGCAGTCCAGCTGTTCTTGGGGTTCAGAAGCTCAGATGGAACATTGGGGCAGCTCTTGGGCACGTGGAGGTTGAAAACATCGTAGACCTCGTACTCGGCGTTGGCCAACTCGCCGCTGTGGATGGCATCCAAGATGGCACGGGTGTACTTGAGAGGGCAACGCTTACCGCCAGTGGTGGCGCCAGCGCCAACCCAGCCGGTGTTGAGCAACCAAGCATTGGCCTTGTGCTGCGAGATCTTCTCAGCCAGCATGGTAGCGTAGCGCATGGGGTGGAGAGCCAAGAAAGGCTGGGCGAAGCAAGAGGAGAAAGTGGCCTGGGGCTCAGTCACACCGTCCTCAGTGCCGGCCATCTTGGAGGTGTAACCAGAGATGAAGTGGAACATAGTCTGCTCGGTGGTGAGCTTCGAGATCGGAGGCAGGACACCGCGAGCGTCACAAGTAAGGAGAATAATGTTTGTAGGGTGCTTGTCAGAGATGCAAGGAATCTTGGCGTTATCGATGTACTCAATGGGGTAAGCACAACGGGTGTTCTCAGTCAAAGTCGAGTCATCGTAGTTGACAACACGGCTGATGGGGTCGAAAACAACGTTCTCGAGGACGGATCCGAAGCGGATGGCGTTGAAAATATCGGGTTCCTTCTCGGCAGAGAGACCAATGCACTTGGCGTAGCAACCACCCTCAATGTTGAAGACACCACGGTCGGTCCAGCAGTGCTCGTCGTCACCAATCAGGGCACGGTTAGGGTCGGCAGAAAGAGTAGTCTTGCCAGTTCCAGAAAGACCGAAGAAAACGGTAACATCTCCATTCTTACCCTCGTTGGCAGAAGAGTGGAGGGTCAGGACATTGTGCTTGACGGGCATCTCGTAGAACAGGACGGTGAAAACACCCTTCTTCATCTCTCCAGCATACTCGGTACCCAGGATAACCATCTCCTTCTCCGCGAAGTTGATGGCGACAGAGGTAGCAGAGGTCATACCCTCGGTAAAACGGTTGGCAGGGAAAGAGCCGGCGTTGTAGATGACATAGTCGGGATGGAAGTGCTTGAGCTCCTCTTGGGAAGGGCGGATAAGCATGTTCCTCATGAAGAGGGCATGGTAGGCACGAGCGCAGACAACACGAACACTGATGCGATATCTCTCATCCCAGCCGGCGAAACCATCAATGACATAGATACGGTTGCGGGTGTTGAGGTAGTCGACAGCACGCTCACGGTTGATACGCCAGACCTGTCAGACGGATTAGCTAATCAGCCCTATACGGATGACGTCATATGTTGTGAGACGGCGCTTTGAGACAGATGCATGTAGCCAGTGCATAAAAGCGCGCAACAGTGACACAAGCAAGGGCCAGAGTATTGGACTGCCACACGACATGCATAAAAATGCCTCATAAGATTATTGAGGTATTTTAGTTTGTCTCGCAGCATTCCTATCTCCACATCCCAAGAAAGCTTGGCCTCTCGGCCACGCAAAACACCAGCGATCTGCACTAGGGCAAAGCAAGGGGCAAAATGCGCGATATATGTGCGCATACAGAGTGGAGTAAAACTTACATCGGGAGTCATAGGCTTGTTAACGGGTCCCCACCAAATATCCTGCTCAGAAGATTCCTCCTTCACAATACGCTTATCTGAAGGGGAACGACCAGTTTTGGCGCCAGAGTAGGCAGTCAGGGCACCTGACGATGTGATGGCAGTACCAGTTTCGTATACAAGAGCATCTTCGTAGAGAGCAGCGACGGCAGGGTTAGCGATCTATTGAACGTTAGCGACAGGTCCTTCGGTTGTATACATCAAATAGGGCGGTATCATACAATAGCGACACGCTCGTAATCAATGTGGGCGTGCTCGTGAAGCTCTTCCTCCAGCTCGGTGTGACCCTTGCCAGGCCTAGTTGATAGATGTTAGCCATGACACCCGTACTAGACAAGAGTGGTTGATGGGAGATCAGAGGCCAGAGGTAGGCCAGTCCGACCTGGCCAGGATACAGGACGGTGAACTAAGAAAAGAGGGAGACGTACTGGACACCACCAGGGTGCAGAGCAGTGCGATTCACAGATGTGGCAACCATGGTTTTTAATGATGTTGAGTGATAGTTATTATTGCGCTGCTTTGCGACTTGTTGTTGGAAGAAATCTGTGTAGAGAGGACCTGGTTCTACTGGGGAAGCACGGGGTATATTAATGTTTTCAGCAGGAGCCATAATCACAGCAAAAGTAAGTCCAGAAGTCGTTTCAGTCTTCACCTCCGATATGCTTCTCCACAGTTTGACGGGAGATGTCGGGGCTGAGGACCGGGCTGAGGCAGCGTTGGTAACCGTGGAGAGTGTAAAATGCCTCTTGTGGGTTCTCCGACTTGTTCCGAACCCCAGATGTAGGCACGAAGTGGTTCCGGGAAGACGGGTCGGGTGCACCAACTAGAAGCAAGAAAATGCGATTTTCGGAATGAAAGTAAAGGGGTGTCTCTAGCTGATGATAACGCGCGGATGGTATCCAGTCAAGAAATGTCTCATGCAGGAGCAAGCTGCAGGTGTAATGAATTTTAGTGCGTGGGTGTGGGTGCCCAGGCGCAGGAATGCAAACTATGCTTAGGACGGGCTGAAAGTACCGCTGCAAACGACAGCTCGATCACCAATTATTTATGTCTTACATTCATTTGCCATTACACAATCCTCAAAGTATGTTCAGTCTGTATTTACTTTTACTACACAGAAATTGATCAATCAGTCCTCAGGGTTTATGCGGGCAGAGGGAAAAGTCAGCGAAGTGGTGACGTTGAATGATCTCAGTCTACTCTTTTTGTTCTACTTTGTTTGGGTCAAGCGGCCAAGACCCAAATTGCGGGGAGAACATTTTCGGCTAGACCTTTTGCTGCCGGACCGGGGGAGCTCGAGACCACATGGGTGAAAGCAAACGCTCTAGAAGAGTAACGACAATGTCGAAATGCCCAGGTGGCGCAGTATCGCCCCCGAAAGTGTGCCTATCTTTAGCCCCTCTTCAGGGTAACAATCGATAGAAACCAATAATCACTTCATTCTAACCAAACGAGACGTGCTCATGACGAAATCCCGGCTGAAGTCTCGGGTTCCCGTTCATCATTTTTAATGACGCTTTCCCCCTTTAGGCATGCTGTTAGTCATTCGGCTCCCGAGGCTAACCGTCACCAACCAATCAGAGGTCGCCTCTCTGTCTGATTTTCAATCCAACGTCACAAAGTGGGCAGAAGATATTGCCGCGGTTTTCGCTCAGAAGGAGAAGAGGGTAGGCAGTCATTGTAGGTGAAATTTGTTTTGAATACCATAGCAAAATACTTGCTCCTAGCATGGCAATATTACCCCCTTTCAAAGATATTATCCGGTATGAACTTTGCAGGATCCAAAATCTATCGTGGACCCATATGCCAGGAATGAGTTCCTGGAAGAGGCTCTGCATAATAGTTGATATTATCCACGAAAAAGCACATGAAAACCTGATCGCCCAGGAACTTCCGAGTCCCCCCCAAAATTTTCCGAGACACTACGTACTGGTCAGGCGCCCCTGGTCATTTCCCACGCGACGTCAAGTGATAAGCGCTTTTCGGCCAAGAATTTACCAGTGTCGACTGACTCGACCCAATGACGGCGTAGACCTACTAAGAACACATGCCGGTAATCAATAGTACACTACCATCTCCCTACCACTAGGTTCCTTTTGTTATCTTACCTTCGTCTATACCCCGCATCCGAAACGCCTGGGCCACAACGGATCTCTTCCGGGCGCTAATCCTTCCCTGGAAATGGACAACATTCTCGGCTACAACGAACCCAGGCAACATTGCACACGACCAGATCAATGTTCAGAGTTGACGGATATTGATTCTTTCAATTCATGTAAAAATGCCATGGCTAGAACGATCAGGCTTCATATTGTGGAGATCCACAAATCGGGTAAGTTAGGAACATCAACTATTCCTAAAACAAGGCTCTATCACATTTCGGCCCAGGCTCTGCAGTTGGGTCGGGAAGTGGGTACGGAGGGTTCCTAATACGGAAGATTTAGGAAGGAGTCCGCCGTGAAGACGCAAAAATCGACACCTCTTACATAGTTCTAGGGGTAATTACTAAAAAAAGTGGAAAATGCCTCATAGTAGTCGATTCAGGAGTGGTCTGGACAGATTCTGAACAACCACAAGTAAAAAGTAAAAAGGGGGCATGCTGTCACCGACTTCGTAAACATTCATCCCTGTGATAGGGTGGAATGTGATAATAATCGCAGGCTTACCACCAATGAGGGTACCTATCTCACTGATGACTGAACATAGATGGCTGCTGTTGAATTCTACATGTCACGCAGCCCTACTCGTGGCCATTCGTTAGACTTGGCCAGAATCAGTCGGATGAAGATGGTAATGGGCGGTGTGATCAGTCCTGAAGTCAACAACTGGATGTAGTACCTATGAAGCATCCCCTATTGGTGCCGAACTGTAACGGTCCCTGATTACTGGTGCCTGAGGCAGAATGATTCACACTGGCATCACGTGGATACGGAGATTTCTCTCGAATGCCAAGGGAGACCCCGTCTAAAAATATCGAAGGGCTATCATTGGTCATATTACGTGTCCTCCAAAAATGAATACTCATGATATCTACAGTTTTATTCGGTTTCTAATTCAGAGGGAAAGAGCGTAATCATTGATACTCAGCCATCATAGATTAAACGGCATTTACTATGTTCTTTACGGAGTGCTTTCTGTAGAACTCCTGTTCCTAACCGTTAGCCCCACAGTATCTCGATCTGAACTCCGCTCAGGGCACTAGCGGTTGATCTTTTTCTCACGGACATCCATGACCCGCGGCGGAACAATGGGCACGCTCTCGGATGCCTTGGGGCAATCAATTAGTCCTTGTATGCAGATTTGGCGTCGGTACATCTGGCATTTTCTTGTACTCTACGTAATATTGCTGGGTGTAGTGCTTCTAACCCTTGCGTCAAAGCTGAATCCGGAAGACCCTGTATCAGTGCGAGGTGTGATCTACTGCTATCAAACATTTGTAACGTCACTAATGCTGATTAGAGAAGATTCATGGTCCTTATGACCCACTACCATTGACAATATCCAAAGCACTGGTTTTGGCTAAAGTACGAGAAGAAAATGTATCCTGGGTGAACGATCTTCAGCCTCAGTTAGCATTAACTATTTCCTATTGCCGGAACCTGAGCTGATAATCTTTGAAACAGATGGTTACCATATATCTATACTGCTGATAATGAACCTGGATATCTTCCGGTTCCGGAGAATAAAGGGCGCGAGGGCATGGCGTATTTAACGCACATTATTGACAATTACGATACCTTGACTGATATCACAGTTTTCATGCACGCATCAGCTACTCAATGGCATAATGACGTTGGCGACACAAACTCGCCTAATGTTCTATCTATGCTGCGCCTCGAGGCGGTAAAGCAAAGAGGATATGTGAACCTTCGTTGCCAGCATCGTCCGGGCTGTCCAACCGCAGTCCGTCCTTTCGACCCCGAGCTCCTTTCAAGCCCAAGCATTGTATACCGTAATTTCACCACTATCTACACTGAAATCTTCAACACATCAATTGAAACTGTACCAAAGGAGATCGGTGGAGTGTGCTGTGGTCAGTTCGGCCTCACTAGAGAACGGATTCGCCAGCGACGACGAGAGGACTATGTGCACATGCGGGATTGGGCTTTCTCTACAAGTCTGGATAACTTTACCGTTGGGTCTGTGTTCGAAATGCTCTGGCATATGGTCTTCTTAGAAGACCCAGTTTCGTGAGCATCGCCCGTGCTTGGTATTATTCGCAATGAGCTGACTCGAAATCTAGATGCCCAGATACCCAGCAGTGCTATTGTGAACTTTACGGTCTGTGTAATGAGTAATGATATATACTCTTTCGTCCTTGATCATTATGATATACGTGCAAATACGTCTCTATGAAGAATGCCTCACTAGCCAGCGTCCAAAATAACGCTTCTTGCATGATCCACTAATGGCCGGTTCTATGCCACTCCGATCCATTGAAGACATGGATCTTCGATCCTGTACTCAATGTATTATCACATGCATGATTCAATGCACCAATCAAATCCAATACAAAAGCATCCTGTCATCCATTATTGTCAAACGAAACAAGGAGAACTATTATCATATTACCGCCCAATAAGATCACCCCTCAGTACCCCTGTATTTCACCCACGAGAATGTTACGATACACGCATCCCGAAGGATACCAATCCCGATCCGAAAACAGGGATCGGGTTCATTATCCGTGTTCGATCCTAATCCTCCCGATAGAGTATTCAAGATACAAAAGATATATCCGGATCGGAAGTTTGACAGGCGCCTGGTGGCGAATGTAACCGATCACATAGATAGGCCTGTTAATTCCGAGTACTAAGTAGTCCGTGGCTTGAGAGGGGCTTTTTTATTGTTGTTATGCTTTTTATGTGTTCGGTTTAGATTGAGGTACCCAGGTGGGTTAAGTGGATTTCCTGGATAAGTAATCTGTTTACTTCCCGAAGTATGTATATGGTTGAACCTTGGCTTTACCTGAGGATTACGTTTTTGACCTTGCAGTAAAAATTGTATAGCATATCATATGTTTGTTAATATAGAATACTATACTATTCATCGTGTCATTATTTATTTAGTTTAGGAAAATAAAAATCCTCAGTTTAATGAAGCGATAAGGCAAAGAACCCCTCAACCCCCACCACAAATTTATATATCTTACATGTGGATATCCAAACCACCACAACACATCCAAGATCATGTACAACAAAAAGTCACCCATAGATTCAAACCAACCTACCAAGTCCTATGTAGATAGCCTCCAAATGATCACACCTAATCCTAACGAATAGCAACCTAGATTATGCGTTGTTCAACCCCGTGATAGGCTCACACTACCCAAAAGCGGGGCAGAGAAAAAGCACAAACCCAACTCATGGCGGGGTAATTCAGGTCTCAAATCACCACTCGCCTATTTCCCATTACTCAGTCACTTTTCTCACTTTCCTCACTCTACTACTCATTCCCTGATTTTCTTACACAAGGTCCCCAGCAACAACAACCTAGCTCGGTAAGATTAATCATTACTTCTGCATGATGTTAATTAACGGACTTTTTGTTTGGGGGAGAGTGTGACGCTAATCTTTTCAATCTGTGTTGTTGTAGTTTCTGTTCTTCTCGAGGTTTCAATTTCATCGATCTATAATCAAAATGGCCCACTCTAATACTTGCCCTTCCTGCAACGCTCCCATTCCTGGCGAGAACAAGACTTGCAGCTCTTGTGGAAAGGTATGGCTGTTTCCTTGTTCTTGGGGTTGGGTTTGAGGTAGATGCTGATGTCGGTGGTGCGTGTTTAGACTTGCCCTGTTTAAGGGGCTATTTTTGGGTGGAGGTTATGATGGTGGAATGTTGTTGATGGAGTTTGGTTTTTGTTGGGATGGGTTACGGTATATTTGGATGATAGATGATGATGTATGAACGTGTTGATGAGTGAATGATATTACTGGTTTATGTTTCGAGATATGGTTTTGAATTATCGTGCGTAGATCATTTTTTTGGTGGGTAGATTGTGCTGTTCTATGCTTATTCTATGTCTTTCTATACTATATCTCTTGTGTCAACTGCTCGATCTATCATCTGTATTGTGTTTCGTGAGTCTGGTCGATCATCGTCTGTGCCAGCGCTGTCTTCACTTCTTCTGAGGATCGCTGCTGTGTCGTCTTCTGGTTGACCGTTGTCTGTCCCGTCGTCGCTATCTGGGGGTCGTGAGAAGCGATTGTTGACCATCACTGAGTGTCGTGCGCGATTCGCCGTGCTGTTGTTGGGGAGGGGCTCGGTGTCCGAGAGGAGGAGGACTTCTACGGGGTGGTCGCATATGTACGGCACGTTGCAGAGTTTGTAAAATGCGTTAAGGATAGGGACGGATAAGCCGTGAACGAGGATAGAGAAGAGGACGAGCCAGTATACGACTTGCTTTTTGATTAGGGGCTGTTGCCTCCCTCAGAGTTTGGTTTGACTCACCGGGTGTCATGGTTGCGGTTAAGTTATTGATCTCACTGTCGCTTTCGCCGGGTTCGGGGAAGAGTCGACGGGCGTATTCTACATATGAGATTGCGCCAATACCTGGTTATTAAAGAAAGGAGTTAATGTCTGAGACCGGCATTGGAGGCAAAGGTAAGGATATACTAACCGATCGGGCCAAAGTAACCCATGAATAAAGCTTCAGTCCAGCCATTACAGACGGCAGGTATGAATCGGTATCCGAGTAGGATTGTTGGGATCCGACGAAGGACTAGAATCAAAAAGCCCAAGCCAAATAGCCGCGGGAGTGTGATTCCAGTGTTGTGGGGCATATGAAATTGTTCCCACGGCATGACGGCCCCGAGGTACATGAAGGTGCCGAAGTTCAAGAGGGTTTCGAGTGTAGGATTAAAAGTGTCATGACGAGCTTGCATCTCGGAGTTGTACATGCCATCCCAATTCAAGAAACTCCCGGCGATGAAGCATGCAAGGGTCTCGTCTGAGCCAACGCAACCGCAAGTGCCGACGACTAGCATCTTCCAAAAGTTAGGCATGGTTTACGGCTAGATAGATAGTACTCACGCCAATAGCCATCGGTACAAGAGAGAGGCTCTCGTTCTCAATCCATTTCCTAGTGAAAGTTGGCAAAAATTCCCTAAAACCATAGAAGCTCACATACCTCTTCAGGGCTATGACCAATAGTTTGCGAGACACAAACCCTATCAGAGCACCATAGGTGGCTCCTAAGATGATCATGTACAAGACGCCTTCCACAAACCAGTGCTTCAATGCCTTGCCAACACCTCCGCCAAAGCGACCGACATCAGAGGCGCCGAGTACGTCTGAAATTCCCCGAACCAGATCAAATTCCTTTAAACTTTCGGTATTTGCAGGAGTCTCAGCGTACCGTAAGAGCGAGACGGCCAGTAAGAGAAAGGTAAACCCGAACCCATCATTTCCACCAGCCTCGGAAGAAATGAATTCACGGAGATGCCGACGGACGTACTTGTCAGCAAACGGACCTTTGGCAATTGCTTGCGATAGAACAGGATCAGTGCATGTTACGCATGAGCCGATGATCAGCGCGGCGAGCTGTACCAGAGCATTGTTTATCAGTACTGAAGTTTTTGACGTAGGAAATTCATTGACAGGGACGGCACGTACAAATGAGATGTTAGGAACCATGAGCATGATGCATGAAGATGTTATAACCCACCCTATCCCCATGAGGGGAAGTAAACAGATGGTAAGTTCGATGAAGCGCTGCTTGATATATCGCTTTGGCAATTGGTATCCGACTTTAACTAATTGGATCCCGATAACCAAGCGCGTCAAGGCCTGTTTCCATCAGATATATCCTTCATAGCGCTGCGTAGTAAACTTTACATATGTGATTTCACTGCGCTCTTCAGCTTCCTCTCCTCCCCATTGTGAAATATTTAGAAATTTGGTGCCGAAAGGTCCAAAAGAGATGCCAACAAGAAATGCGGGGACTGTGTAAGGTTAGCTGTTATAGATACTACAGTAGCAATGTTACAGTACGTACGGGCTTCACCCAGATACCATCTTTGCTTGAATTGTAGAGATATATAGCCGAAAAGTAGGATATAGAGGCCTTGGTACAACGTGAGCTGTTTATTACCAAGCCACCTCTCAGAACGATTTGGACATACTTAAAACAGTAAGAACAATATTAAAATTGCTAACATCAAGAATTGGGTGTAACATTCTGCTCCGTTCCGAGAAACAGTATGAGTTGTGTGAATTGACAGTTGCAGCCAAGGAGTAACTCTTAAGGCTCTTAAGTTGAGCGCAAGATACCCCTGGAAATCCCTAGACTGCTGGAAGCTTTCATTGATTCAGCTTGATAGTGAATGTCACTAAGCGCGTAGATTGATCACGGCAGGCTTTCATGTTGTGAGGAAAGGAAAAGCAATGATTTTGTACAGGCGCTTCCAATGCATCATCATATCTTCGGGTTATGATGTAGAGTTAGAGCAAAAATGATCAACAATCACCAGCGCGAATCACATTATCTGTTCTAGCCGCTATCTATCCTTCTGCACTTGTCTCGAAACATACAACTCAGGGGCTTGCGTAGCCGAGTGGACCATTTACGCACACCCTTGCAGGGGGCATTGCGGCGCGAGAAAGCTTGGCTAGACATATTGACGGTGATCGACGTGATCTGACCTTTGATCGGCAACAGGGATAAAGAGGTAACCGTCTAGAGTCAGGGGATCGTCCAATAGTGTGACGCCGATAGCGCCATACCAGACATGTTTCAATATTTTTGTAATAAGCAGAGACAAAATTGGTGATAGCCACCCAGCCCCCTTGGATGTATCACATTGCAACTCAACAAAACGATAGATGTCGCGCATAACTGGAAGATATTACTCCTTGTCTGGATATCCGAGGGATGATAAGATGAGATTGAATATAGAATGGATCTTACATTACTTTAGCTCCGATGTTGCAATGGGCATTTTTAGGTATACAGAATATGAGTCTTAACACTGAGGGGCTACTTGACGCTGACTCAGCAGTGGATACCTTGATAACCAGGTAGAGACGGTCAGAGCAAGAGGAGAAACAACATATCAATGAGTGATGTCATAAGTTATATCTTATTGATTAAACTGCACAAGTCCTAGCGCTGTCATCCCAAGCAATCTATTTCCCCATAAAGGTTGTAGAAAGCTTTGCTTGTAAGGTTGCGAGCGGTGTCGTTGAGTGAGCATGCACAAGTAGTGAACGCAACAGCTGCGCGGCACATTGTATGTCGAAGTTGCTTTCCCTTTTGCGCAAGCGTAGTCGAATCCTCGAGGCTGCGACCGCGCTTGTGTGAAGCACAGTCTCTGATGGGCTCGATAGTGCTCAGCTCCCTAGTGCGCGTTGACGAAGTTCGCTAGGGCATTATGAACAGCATAGAACGCACCCTTGGGCTTGTAGCACTCGGTGAACATCAATGGCTTCGCGCCCGGTATCCAGGTATAGGCGTGCTTATCCGTGAAGCCCCAGAAGCTAATATCGGTAATTCCTGCATGTAGAGCCTCTTCGATGACAGCACCGTAAATATCGGTTTGGAGTGTGGCGTTAAGTGTGTGGACATCCAGTTCAGCGATGGCCACTTCTAAACCAAGTGCTTTGTAGGAGTTAACCATATCCGTAATCACACCTGGTATCGGGGCAACTTCAGTGATATGCATCTGTAGGGCGACTCCGTCAACCGGGACACCATCCGCCACAAGTCCAGAGACTAGCTCGTAGAGTTCCTGACGCTTGCCGGGGAGTGACTCGACAAGATTCTCATTAATAAACAATTTAGCGTCCGGACCTGCTGCACGGGCGATGCGGAAGGCATCTGCAATGTAGCCGGAACCGAGTACGTTGTAAAAGATATTCGTGTTCAGGCCGCTGCCGTTCGTCTTGAGAGCTTCAGTAACGACGTCCCACCGATCCACACGCTTGTCGCTGTACCGGTGCATAAACGCCTCAAAGTGAGCCGTCATTGCCGCACGGAGGGCTGCGGGATCAGTGATATTGAGAATATAGTCAGGGTTACAGCAGCTCGAGATAAGCCCGTGTCCCTTAACCACCATATTGTAGCCTTCCGCGAAGTCGACGAGGCGGTCGAGCGAGGTCCAGTTATAGTACCCTTCGGTCGGGTTTAAAAACGACCACTTCCCCTCATTTTCAGGAGAGAGGCTGTTGAACTGCAGGGCGAGGACAGCCGCGAACTGAGGATCATTGAGGTAGGTCGGGTTGATCGCCCCAGACCCGATGATAATGTCCTTCTTGGCCGCTTCCTGCTTCAGCGAGGTGGCTCCAGTGCTGGGGATCTGGACTGCTTCAGCAGCGGCGAGAAGCGCGATGATGAGTGTTGCGACCTTCATGGTTCTTCCTGACGAATGTTCTCTGTCTCTTAGCACTCAATGGTAAGTGACTTGCGACTACCATCTCGACATCGTTGGGGTTTTAATAGTTCGTTGTGAGAAGATCCCGAAGATTAGTCCGAGGCGGTTGTCGTCACCACTGTGGATAACACATGCCTCTAGTCCCGTACTTTAGGGGGGATATAGACCCTGCTGTTTGTAGTCTTCGTAGGCAACGAAGAATAGGAACAAGAGAATACGAGAATACGAAAAAACGAGAATACGAAAAAACGAGGACGGGGACGAAAAAGCCAGAGCGGTGGCTGTGCCCTGGCTGTATACCCAATGGCCATTAGGGCAACATGCTACTACAGTACAACACGCCCTCAAGTAGTTCCAGCTGGGGAGACATGGAAAGGCATTGCGATTCTTGTCTGAGGGATAGTAGGTCATCACTTGTAATATTTGAATATCTCTCAATAAGCTTTGTATGGATGCGTAAAGAGCTGCTAGCTATGATACCGTCCCCTAAATTTATTGTTTTATTTAATAAAATTGGTTTTATATCAGAATTCATAGACTGTAATGCTTACCGGCTGCTTGGACAGAAAACGATAGTATATCACCACAAACAAAGAACTTTATGAGCCACCTTTTCTTGGAAAAGGAGAGATATTCGGCTTCTAGAAGCACAATGATCATGCCGAGCATCATATAAATCGAAGCGGCAAAGAGAGCGGGTGCGACTAAGAGCAAGATGGTTTGTTGGATATATGGCCCCGTCGTCCAGTTTGGGTTCTCTCAACTTGACTAGGCTTGTTTAATATATTCTACCCATTCAAACTACATTACAAGACACGTCGATGTTAGCTGCAAGCTATATCAGTAAAGGTAAATATTACTGTAGGAGAATATTTAGAAGCCTCTAATTATAAAGGGAATGAAGAACCATGCCCGGTGAGAGACGAGCTGTAAGACATATGTAAATATGAATAGTGTGAAGAGAGTAATAAATATCACCGCCACAGCTGGGGATGGACAATATCGGTAATATTCCCATATAGCAGTCCTATAGTCAGACCCTGTAACTGATCGTCTTGGCCTGATGAGCGTGTTGCCCTGAATGTGCTCGTCACTGGCGAATTTCGCTTTACGTGGTCGATGTATTTGCGTAGCACGAGGGAATAAAGACTGTGAACTACAAAAATTAGGATATCTGCAAGCATTGTGCCTCTGAAGTACTAATCCTCTAGCCGTATACATGAATTTGACAACAGACCGACAGGAGTGGGGGCTGTACATAGAAACTCTACATCTCGGACTACGCGTTAGATTAGTCTCAGTGGTAGCTGACGACAACAGCATTGTTAAGTCAGACTAATAAGGGCTGGGTAAGTCATGGCATCTGCATGTGCGAAGTATTTGGGTTGATAACCCACATAATACCAGTAGCTTGCTCTGACACACTCGTATTTCCAGTGTAGATTTTCCCCCCCCCTTTTATTTTAATTATTTGATACGAATACGAGTGGGTCTGAAGATCTTAGAGAAAGTTAAGGTTATAGTCTGATATTACTAGTAGCGCCAGTGGTCCATTAAATCGTACCCACTGTCGAAATCATTAGGCTCTCCCAGCCAGAGCAATCATTCATAGATGTCTATTTAAGCTTTACTGTATTATGTGCATAATGACTCTCAGAGTGAGGCAAACGCCATTGTGAATAAAAAATGAACGAAGCAAGCCTATGGAACTACTTGCGGTCTGGTGGTTCTTAACAGAGCTATATCCCAGTGAATGTGTTATGGTCCAAGATGGCTGCCTTTCATGATGAAACTTGAAAGCAACGCAAAAAGGGTATTCTGACCTAGTAGTGCGCAGGGGGCTTTGGGACCTAGGCTCAGTGGGTCTCCCAGAACCCATCGAATGTATCGAGTCCTTCTATGATTGCGGGTCTGTCGCCACTGGAACCTGCTAACATGAAATTGCGTGCGACCAATCAAACAGCAAGTGCCGTTTATGAGACTCCAGAAGAGCTGTGCTTTGGATAATTGACGTTTCTATGCTAATTACTATGTTCTTTTTTTGCGGTAGCCTGGAGGTAGAAGCACTATATAAGTTACAGAAGATCCGTCCAGCGAATATGTTCTGGCCATTCATCCCTACTCACTCTGAGAAGTTTTTCTTTCTGTAGTGACTATCATGATGGTATCTTCGTTCATGCTCCTCTTTACCTCACTTGCTGCAGTCAAAGTAACATGGGGGTCCGTTGCCCAGAATCAGACATCCTACAATCCGGCTATACCTGGTTGGTATAGTGATCCTAGCTGTGTTTTTGTACCTGAATGGAACAATACCACGTTCTGCACCGCATCAACCTTCCTCCTGACACCAGGGCTGCCTGTCTACGCCAGCAAAGATCTCGTTACTTGGAAATTGGCCAGCCACGCCTTGTCTCGGGAAAGCCAATTCCCCGGATTCAACCAATCTCTCGCCCAAAGCGATGGGATATGGGCCCCAACGATCCGATACCATCAAGGGTTCTTCTACATCAATGTCATTTATAAGAACAACATCCTGAACAATATCATTGGCTTAGTCTTCAAGACAGCAGACCCTTACAGTGACAGTGCATGGAGCGACCCGGTTCATTACGATCCTATATCTATCGATCCAGATCTCTTTTGGGACGATGATGGCGTCGTATACGTTGCCACTGCTGGCACCTACCTTCAGACAATCGATCTCAAAACCGGCACTGTAGGTCAACCTCAGCAGATCTGGAACGGCACAACCGGCATCTTTCTCGAAGGCCCACATCTCTACAAGAAGGATGGATACTATTTCCTTATGACAGCAGAAGGTGGCTCTGGGATGAATCACTCGGTCACAATTGCTCGCTCACGTAATATCTGGGGTCCCTATGAGAGCTGTCCCCAAAACCCGGTCTTGACAAATAGGAATACCTCTGAATATTTTCAAAATATTGGCCATGCAGACTTGTTTCATGATGCAAGAGGCCACTGGTGGTCGTCTGCGCTGGCTTGGCGCTCGGGGCCTGAAGGGCAGACATATCCAATGGGCCGAGAGATGGTGTTGACCCCTGTGACCTGGAAGGAGGGTGAATGGCCGGTCTTCTTACCAGTCCGTGGTATAGAAACAGGGTGGTATTTACCTCTCTCCAAGGATATCCGGGGAGACGGCCCTTTCGTCAACGACCCCGACGTTGTCGATTTCCAGCCCAACTCGACAATTCCGCGCCATTTTGGTTTCTGGCGTTGGCCCAACAAAAAGTCCTTTGTTCTGTCACCGCCGGGCCATCCAGGTACGCTTCAACTGACACCGTCTGTTGCAAGTATCACGGCCGGCTACAAGAACTATACCGCTGGCTATCAACTGGCCGACCTCACATTGATCATGCGTCGGCAGACGGATACGATGTTCGAATATAGCATCGACATAGACTTTGCACCCAAAACCAGGGATGAGGAGGTTGGGGTAACTGTTTTCCTGAATCAGGTCCAAAATATCAATCTCGGGGTGGTGATGCTACCTGCTAATGACACTTCAAACTCCACCAAACGGGTCTTAGCACCGCATTTCCGCTTTCTGGTCTCTGGGCTTGAAAGTAATGAGAAGAAGATCCCTCCACCATACATCACACCAGTTCCAACCTCTTGGCTCCATGAACCCATTCGCTTGATGATTCGCGCGTCGAATGAAACCCACTACACATTATCTGCTGCCTCGACTACTCGCCCCAATGAAATCCAGATGATAGGCCAGGCACCGGCAACAATCGTGAGCGGTGGTGCGGGGCCATTCACAGGTATGTGCTCTGATGTTATTCTGTGGCTTTGCTGTATGTATTTGCTCGTGGACTAACAATTCCCTTGTAGGCTCTCTTGTCGGAGTCTATGCCACTAACAACGGCGGAACTGGAACGACTCCGTCTTATATCTCTCGCTGGAGATATCAGGGCATTGGGCAAGCGATTACGAAAGGCCAGTATGAGATGACCCTGTAAAGCTCGCACTGTCGAAGGTACTTTACTGCTGTCTCTCCTCTTCGGATCACGTATCTCTTCGCAATGTCATGCAGTGCCGGGTATTCGACAATACATTGGGCTGCAGCATTAGGAATCTTAGCCTGTCTCTCGGTGGCTCTGGAAACGGGCGCAGCAACGGCTATAGGGTGCCTCTGGCGAGAGGAGTTGTTGGTGCGATGCAGGCCATTTCGGGTTAATTCTTGGATATCTGTGAAGGAGGATATTAAACCTCATAAGTAAATTATCACTTAATTCGCGAGATTTCATGGTAGGGAAACTGGGAACATCTATGCATCTATAGTAATATCCTAAGCTTAGGCTTGATTTAGTTAGGCAACTGGCCTTCCAAATTACTGATATATTTATTTTAAAACCTAAATTATTTGAGTTATTGAATTTTTCAGTAGCTATCTGAAACGGTTCTTTGAACTTTGGGCTTGTTTCAGCTTTTTAACATTAGCTTATGTTAACTAGGGCTTCTAGATTAGATAACCATTTTATAGCTCAATATCGTTTTCAAGTAAATCATTCATATGAGGATAATTTCTGCATAGATCATAGTTACTATTATGTTCCGATTAGAGATGTTATATCTTGAACTTATATTTACTGCTCTGACATTTGATCATCTCCAATAGTACTAAATCAGTACTAGGTAGTGTATCTTTCACACTGCATTAAGAATGTAGTAGCTCGCTGCTGCACTTATGCTTCTTTAAGATCAGTGCTCATGGCAATAATGGATTTAACCACAATTATCACATTTCAACCATCCACGTAGACCCCATAACTTATAGTCCCTAATAACTTGTTAGTTACAGGAATTAAATTCTTCATATACCCACCCTCGACCGAAGATAGAGTAATTTCAGGCTGACCTGAAGACCTCGCTCGAGATTTGAAAGACAATATTCTCATTATTTGCGCAGTTTCGTAGCTTTGGTCACTCACTAAGACTTGATGGTTTTCCCTAAAGTAGGTGAGAATAAAAGTCTTCACTTTACATGTTTATCTGTTGGTAAACCCGATATTTCCTCTATCTGCTATACATTCTCTCAAACAGAGGATTCTAGCCTTCGGTGTTCAGTTTACCAGTACTATTACACAATACTACGGCAATTTCGAACACTATAGGCAACAAAATTGTTCTTGGGTGAACAGAAAAGGAGTATATCGACCCGCTAAGACCGTATACTGCTACGGAAGCAATAAGCGCCCGTCCCACAGGTTTAACCGTTGCATTCAGCCACAACCGATATGCAACATGAACACATACGCAGTGCAGATTCTGTGGACCAACACTTTTCCTAGGATGTACGTCAAATTTCTGCGCGATAGCCTGTCAAGGCCCGAGCGAGGTCTAAACTTCAGCGCAATATCGATATCGCAAGAATGGTTGTCAATGACGATTGCATCTTCTCAGCAGCTTCTTGTTTACTACTACCTCACACATGTTGTCCACGTCAAGAATATATCATTTCGATATAATGGTGTTATTCAACGGAAAATACATGCGCAAACAGTTGATCGAGATAACTTTGAACTGAAGACGGAAGGTGTTGAGCCCTATAGGGAAACACATGACGTCGTCGACTCAACAATTGTATTCACTCTCTATATGACAACATGAACGACTATCATGGACAAGCTGCCGTTTTCGGCTTCTTAGATGAGCAGTTCTCAGTGAGATCTATGTTGCCGTTAGCAATATTTAAGCACCATCTCTCCAGTCCTTGTCCGCAAGTATTTCTTACCGTAGCGCATACATCCCGCTCGCCTGGGACCAATCGAATGAAAATTGTTACTTAAAAACATATCCATTGAGTTATCCAAGATGCACACATCTATCTACTTCATTTTAAATACTCTTCTGGCCTCCAACTTGGCCGGTCAAGCCTCCGCCAGTCCACTTCAGCCGCAGGTTGACCAAATCCGCTTCCCCGAACCCGTCAGTCCCAATACACACTGGCCCAATTTCAATGACATTATCTCCCAAGTGACCCAGCCGACCGAAAAAGAGGAAACCCTGTCAGGCTCACTGGGTCTGCAGTATGGCCGCTGCTACTATATCGAGAACCGTCACGGTGACACTCTAGGCTCGGACGGTGGCGGCTACAGCTACTACAAATTCGGAAGCTCCAAAAGAATCTTCCAGGTGTGGTATTCCAGAGGCTTCCCCTGGAAAGATGGAAGCGAGTATCAATCCGTGCCGGACGGTGGGAAATTCTACCTGTGGGATCCGAAAGGAAGCAGCGTGACCAACGGCGGGAGCTGGATTGCAACCAACCTCGGCGGCAACACGTATCCTGGATTTTACAGTTACTACTATTACCTCCGCTTCAAGGGCCGTCGTGATGATAGCCATGCAATGGAGGCTATGTCCCAGAGCGAAAACCAGATGGGTCCAATCAGGGTTCGGCACCCCGTTACGTTGGAAATTGCTAAAGTCGAGCCTCCTAATGGCATTCCCAATTACAAGGGATTAACCATTTATAACGATTACCTCCAGAATCGGAATAACGAGGATTCGGTTGATGTCCGCTTCATTGAGGTCTCATGTCCAGTCGATGGAATTGATGACTAGAAATGATGTTGTGTACCGCGGACCTTGAGGGTTTGAGGGTCAGCTCACATGGACACTGAATGAGTGTATTATCGGCAGATCATGGTGGATAGCTCTCTCATGAAGCTCGAGAGATTTTAATATCTTAAAAAGATGGAAAAAGGGGTGATTGGTCTATCAAAAGTATGGAGCCATGGCGTTTAATACATGAATCAACGGACCATTTTAGTTGAATTCTCAATAATAGTGTGTTGCTTTTGCTACACAAATACACCAAGTAGATATCACGAAGGGTGAAAACTTCTTCACTATGTAGGCCACAGTACAACACTCGTTCGGGCTAATACCTATCCACCCATAGGATGATAATTTGTATTTGAACCCACTTCTCAGCGCAATGTGACTGGGCAGTACTGGTGTAGCCAGACTATTTACCAATAGGCCTTACTATCCTACTCAACAATGTATCATGACTAACAGACATAGGAATCAATCGAAGCAAACCACAAACTTCAATTGTCGACTGCCATTTGCTACCTCATCTGGCCCCGAATGGGATATTCCCGTGTACATTGAATGATGAGGTTGTCCAGGGACGTTGTCTCTCGAGCGTTAAATGGTCTTTCCTGCCACGATACAATATTACTGTTGAAAATATCGATGGCGAGTGATACTTTCACTCACTTAACACCGTTCAGTAGGAAGACGCATATTTCTATTTTAGGTACTGAATTCTGTATGGTAAGTCGAACTAGCTAAATCATAAAATGTTCCTCGCCATCCCCAGTCTATTATGCAAGCCCCGCATTGAAAGATATGTCAGATATCTTCAATACGCCTGAATATGCAACCTTATCAGAAAAGATGCCTGCAGATACCAGCAGCTGGGAAGACGTAAGGGATAAACTTAATTGACACATACCGGAGCGGTGGAACGTTGCCAATTTTTAGTGAATTAATCCCTCAACATTGCTCTTGAACCTTGAAGCTACCTGTCGGTTACTTGCTCCGTCAGTATCCCATACTATTGTTTGTTTGGTGCCTCCTGCGTTGAGGCCCTGCGGCATATTTATTGCCTGCATTTTAAGGCTTCAATTGTTCTTGGCGGAATCATGTGAAGTTCATGTGAAACAAAGGGATCACATGCTATAGGGGCCAGTAAAAAAAGATCGGAAATAAGCAAAGTACGAGCACCTCAGTATTTCGTAATTTACAAACTTATACATCAACATTAATCTCCTATAGATCAAACAGTGCTACCCTCAGTAGGAAGACTTATTGAAAGAACAGGCTAAACAAATATAATAAACTCTTAAGATACATAATATGTTCATGAAAGCCGAAGACTACTATATCGCATCTCCCTTGTCGAATCCTGCCACACAAAACGTTCGCCTATATCTAGATCTTCATTTCGTCTTTGATCCAGTTGGACCTATACACCATATCTCTTGTTCTGAGGCTGAGGTTTGACGAAGTGAAAGAAATACACAACACCCAATCAACGCAGACGTCAGCAAATAGACCAATACCACCTCAAGTCAGCCCCGTGAAATCTCAATCAGAAAATCCCCGAGCTTTGGCCGTTCACGCGGTCTTCCGCCACTGAGACACCACGCCTAGCAAACTGCTGACTGTACCTCCGATGCCAACAATTCCGTCGTCGAGGTTGGCAAGGCCCAGGCTGGAAACAGGGATAGTCATGTCGCAAAGGTCCGAGAAGAGCTGGGTGCGGGCAGCGGAACGTTCCCTGGGAAGACTGGGGTTAGCAACTGAATACAGAATTCCATAATGTTGAAGGTGCACAAACTTCTCGAGCTTCTTTGCCTCCACAACGCCTTCACCTTCGGTGCGGTCAAGAGTCCTCTCCTTCTCCCGCAGTCTCCAAAGGGAGTATGCACTAGCAATAGCGCTAAAGATTAGCCCAGCCAACCATGACCGATAGGCGGTATCCTGCAAGCGCTTGACCGCAGCGATTTTTCGGAAGCCAATAATGTCAATAACGGTGATAGTATCCAGAGTCAGGTATCCGGCGTAACCGAGCTGGCGACCGACAGCTAGATAGCGGAGAACAGGGTCGATGGGGCTCTTGTTGTCGGCAGCAACAGCTGCAGCCTTAAGATGCTCGGCAAACTTTCCGATCCTCAAAATCTTTCTTGTTGTTCCAAACTGCTTCTTGACTGCATTGTAGGGGTCGATAGAGGACTGCGGGCGGTTTGTGCGATACAAGTACCAAGCATAAAAGCGTGAGAAGTATTGCAGCGTACGGAGGATTTTGTCACGACCAACTGTATGTTCATTAGAACTAGCTCACATGCATATATCGCAGGGAACATTTTAAGTGACAAATTTATTTTCTAGCCTCCCATATTTGTGTGCAAGTGGGCGGTCAAGTAGATGCAGCAACGGCATGATGGGCCTCGGTCGCCAACCGCAGAAAAAGAGGGAAAAGAGGGAAAAGAGCACCACATACCAGTCGTTGCAACAAAGCGCAAGTAATGCGCCAAAGTAGGATGATAAGCCAAAGCGTCAGCGACCATATTGGCAGAGAATGTTATATATTAATACGATTGCACGGGTAGTGTCTTTAGTATCGTGAGAAGTCGGAAGATGTGTTCCGGTGTGTTGTAGAGAGGGGTATGACGGCAGCGATAACCACAGACCAGCTGGTAGCTTTATAAATGGCGAGAGACAGGAGACGGCACTTCACAGCCAGGATGCAGAAGAGGGAGAGAAAAAAGGGATGGCAGCCGCGGAGTTGACGTGATATTGGGAGGGTTTAATGGATGGTGGTCGGTAATTGAATCTCCGGGGAAAACACGGCTGGAGGAACTGGCGTCGGGCATTGACCCTCAACCTCGGCTGCTCGTGGAGACGAGGAAAGTCTCGGTCTCGGAAATTTCACGGTTTTCTTCCAACCATTGCCGGGTTCCATTGCCTTTCTAGGTAGTATCTCTGCAATAGGCAGTACTACTATGAACTTCAAGTTGGTTACTTGCTTCCTCCTGTTTACTGATTTCTAATTTATTAAGTCTAGAGCAAACTCCTGATAGATCTTTCTAGATTTTGTATTTTCCTTTTCTTTTCTTTCTTTATTCTTTTCTTTGTTTCCCTCTTACGATCGCTCTTTCTTCAACTCTTTCCTGTCCGGTCTTTCCCCATATCAAAGCTTGGCACGATACAGGGTCAAACAAATATTGACCCTCGTGGATAAGAGTTTCTAGTATCTTTCTTGGCTTGATAAAATGCATACTTGAAAAGCTACCAGAGACAATTGCTTCAAGGATAATGGTGGGGTGCGTTGCGTTGGCAGAAGAAAAAAACATAGTAATCGTCATTAACGTTCTCCAAGATGACCATGAATCACATATCTAATACATCACGGGCATGACAATGAAGATGATATATCATGAATCCGAGTCTTCGCTGCAATGGGGGTCTCTATATATCTCGCTTCTGGGCAATTGAATCATCTGCAGTCGTGGGTCGCACAGGGTCCTGTCACGCGATAGGGCATTGATATAGCCTAAAATGGGCTAGGGGAATCCTCATTTGCTCGTGTCGCACGTACTGCTTCTGGGGCATACTGGTCACGGATGTTGCAAGGGCCGTCTCTTTGTGAAACATGTCGCAAGGAATAGCAAGGGAGCTGGCACTTGATAAGTAGGGGTCGGGCGTCGAACATACGGATTTGCAGATGGAAATGCAAATGGCGAAACTGGGCTACTGTGCTTCTCTGTTGCCCATCGTCGAGGTGTCATATCCGTTGGCCTCGAGAAAAGCACGGAACTTCTCATCCTCCTCGGTAATAGTGTCCTAATTGACGATGTAAGTTGAGCCTTTCCATTGGGAGAAGTGGTTAGAGTGATGCCATACCTGTCCAATATGTGGCAGCAGAAAGTAGGCCATTGCAGCACTCAAAAGGCACAATGAGCTCGAGACGAAGAAAGGATCCTGGCCGGAACGGACTTCATTGGGGGCGTTGTTCTGGATGATGGGAATGACATAGGTGCCGACGAACGCTCCAATCTTTCCAGCAGCCGCAGCTATGGCGTAATATTGACCTCGGATTGCAGTCGCGCTGGACTTCGCAGCACAAAGCCCGATGTTATCTCCAGGTCCGAACTCACCGAGAGCCGAAAAAATACTATAACCATGAGTTAGGGGGTGCAAGTGATGCGGGTATAAAAAGTGACCGATCATCTTACCCGAATACTACGACAAATCCCGCAACATTCCTCGGGATACTAAGATACTCATAGCAACCTGACATAACGAAACCGATAACTCCTTGAAGACCAACCCCAATGGCTAACGTGTTGCGAGGCCCAATCCAGTCACTCACTAGGGCACCCAAGAAAGAGCCGGGGATGTAGAAAGCATTTGTTACAGTGGTCCAGCCGAAGGTTTTCCAAAGAGGGGCGCTATCTCCAAGGATGATGCCCACCCACTTGGAGGAGTAGATGTTGAAAGAGTACGCCGAGAAATCATAGATAAACCATATGAGGGACACCACCGTCTGTCCGTAGTTAGTCTATAACCCTTATGCCTAAGTGGTAACGCTGGGGGCATACCAAACGCTTCCAGTAAAACCTATGGCGGCCGGTTTAGTACATGCACCGAATATAGATATTAGTGATGGCTTACCGGATAATCAGCCAGACAGGAAACTTATGCATACGTTCCCTGTTAAACTCCTCTGGTTCTTCCAGTTTCAATCGCAGATAAAACAAACTAAGGGGTGGAATCACGCCGAATCCCAGGGCTATACGCCAGACAGCGCGCAGATGGTTCTCGGTACATATCAAGACCAAGATCATAGGAACTAAGGCGGAGACAACATATGCGAAGTCAATTTGGAAGTTGGTGAACATAATGAACCACCGATTCCGATGTCCTTTCTTTAGTTCGCCTGTGTTTTCCGCAGCTGCAACGGATCCGGCTGGATATTCTCCACCAATCCCAATTCCCAGGAAGAAACGATAAGCCGTCAAGGCAGCGAACAAGCCGTATTGGCTACCATTTAACCCGTACGCACCAGCACACAAGGCACTGAATATGATCAGAATTATCGTTGAGATCATCAGTGACCATTTTCGCGACCAATGATCACTGACATATCCAAAGACAAGCTGACCGAGTACAGTGCCGGCAAATGTGATGGAAGAAACATTCTGGCTGGCGGGGGAGTTGTTGTATGAGTCTGGGTAGATTTTACCAAGGATTGTATTAACAGATCCGATCACCTAGATCAATTGTTAGATCAGAATGATGTTTCTCAATCATGTACGACATATATTCCGATGGGCGTCAGACATACGCCATTGAGATAACCGTCTGAGAAGAGACCTGCGCCACAGGCAATGGTAGGCCAGCTACGTTCCCAGCGGCCCTTTTGCATATTTTCTAATGGGGTAACATCGATAGGAACAGCATCAGGGGAAGCAACAGCCTTCTCAGGCGGCTCTTCGGAGTGTTTCTGTGGATCCATGAGCACGCTGCAGCGACGCGATATTCTATTGCTTTGACGTTGCGAAAAGCCGGAGCTAGGTATCAAGGGAATAAATAAGATTATTCAAGAGATATATAAGGATAGTTTACACCACAGTAATTGTCAGCAATCACTGTGAGTTACACGAATATGGGAGAAGTGACAGAGAGTTGAGAAGTGGAAGAAAAACAACCAAAGATTAGAAGTGAGGAAAAAAAAAATTGGAGGAAAGATCAGAGCACCTGATAGAAATCCTGCGAACCGTGAACGCTCAGGTCATTTCCTTTAGTAAATGCAACTATAACTAGTTTACCACTGGTATTCCCACCCTAGAGCCCTCGGCTCGTGCCTCCCTAAGTAGTAGGCTACATCACCACCAATTTACCAAGAGGCAGCCCCTCTACTATACGGAGTAGTAGGACTAACATACCTTAATTAAATAATACCACCAGCTCACTGGACAGGTGTATAAGGGGTGGAGCCTTTATCTTTCGAGGAACTTGTTAGAATCCTCTGTCAAGAAATACACTAAGCTTTCCCAAGATTTCAAACTGGTTTGTTATTGGAGAAATAATTTTTAGTTGATCTTTTGAATGGATCCACTCTCGAGTCGAATCCTATCGAAAGGCAAACCAAGCCCTACGAAGAAGGCGCTTTCTTTCACACCTGCTATGTTACTACGCTCTTTTGGCCCCATGGCACGTGCCTGGATTTACCACTGTTTTTGTTTCTTATGATTTTGCCTTATTTGCTGCATCAAAGCCAGGACAAGAAGGGAAGACCCATGTATGCATGTCAGATATCACTTGATCAGCTGAATTACCCTTGTGCTATAGTATCTCCCCTCCAATTTGTTTAGATCTCAAAAAACAAAGAAATATGAATATGGCACCATTCAATAATAACACGAATAAAGAATAACGAGGGAAGAGGGAACAGGCGAGTTCACATCATTGCCTCCGACTCTCCGTCCGCGGCTCGGATATAGCGACTAGCAAAACGCTAGACTAGCTGAAATAACTTACCCCCCCCTCTCTCCTCCATGAAACAACAATAGGACGGCAGTTGATGTTTCCCATAAAAATTTATGTAATGGAAGCTCAAATTTCCCAGGTCAATTTTGAGTCACCGTGCACTATTATCTAGGCAGGAATATTCAAGTTAGGGCTTGGTTTCGTATCATTTACTCTTCCTATTTCTCGTAATAGATAATTAACATCAAATGCCTAACTAGTACTAGCATATATATATATAATCTCGCGAGCAGAGTCTTCCTGTCTCCGTGCAGCTGATAGGGATTCATTACCACCACGTAGAAGTAAAATTGTAATGCCCAAGAAGGAGCATGGTCCAACTCACGTGATAACGGTGGTGGTGGTGACGGTTTTCGGGACTGGAAAAACGTTCCGCCAGCTGAGCTCAGGTCAGCTACGTAGGTTGGCTATGTGATGTATCTGCCTCTTCCGGTATCTCATTCATAAGCAGTCTGGAAGCGCATCTGCCAACTCTCCACCACCCAGCCTTTCTTCCTATCACCTTTATATAACCGTTCTCTACCCCCTCGAATTCTCATCTCCCGTCGCCAGCATGGGGTCTGACCCGCAGTACATCAAGTTCCCCGATCTTACCCTCGCCCAACATGTCTTCAACCTTTCCAATCCATCGTGTCCGCAGACGGTGCGGCAAACGTCGTTGAAGAAGGTCCAGGATGCTATCTCTGAGAATAAAATGGCGCCTTTCTACAGGCATCTTGCCCATCCCGTTGAAGGCATCTTGAACCACTCCGGTGAAGGCGTTCCTCAGCACCAAGCCAGCTCAACTAAGTCCCTGATCACCTCGAATATGCTGGCGTCTCGAAAGTCACCTCAAAAGGTAGACTTTCCATGGGATGAATCCTTATACCAGTCCCTAGTTGAGGATAATAAGAAGGAGTTGGATGCTTTCCAAAAGGAAGAAGATGAGGCGGAAGAAGCAGCTGGTGACACCGAGGTCCTTGCGGCCCGGGGGAAGCGTGCTGAATTCTGGGCGCGCGTAGGAGATAAGGTCAGTTGCAATGCTATATTGGATGCTAATACTTGTACTTGCTGACACCATTCATGCCGGATAGGACAAAGCCATCGAATCTCATGAAGCACTCCTCGAAAAGACGACATTCCTCGGAACCAAGATTGACTTGGTGCTGGCCCTGATCCGTATTGGACTCTTCTTTGGTGATACCCTGTCTGTGAGAAAAAACATTGAACGAGCAAACACGCTTATCGAAAGCGGTGGTGACTGGGATCGGAGGAACCGTCTTAAGGCGTACAAGGGCTTACACTTGCTCACGATTCGATCATACAGCGTCGCTGCTCCCTTACTTCTTGACAGTCTGTCTACTTTCACGAGCTACGAACTCTGCAGCTATTCCGCTTTGGTCATTTACTCCGTCCTCGCGGGATCACTGTCGTTGAAGCGAGTCGATTTTAAAGCTAAAGTTGTGGATGCACCGGAGATCAAGGCTATTCTTGGGTCCGGGGAGGATCGGGTAGCTGCTTTGACTGGGGAAGTGTCGTCTGGCCCCACTGCAAAGGACGAAGAAATGAAGGATGCTTCTACAACTAGTGCCACTCCAGGTGCCGCTACCACCGCCGTTAACTTGACCACCTTGGGGGCTGGCTCCGGGATCCAGGCTGATGCCGAAGCCCCTGTGGACTTCTCGCCCCTTGCCGACTTGGTTAGCAGTCTATATAATGGCAACTACCGGTCATTTTTCGTGGCCTTGGCGGCTGTGGAAGACAATTTCTTGACTCAAGACCGGTATTTGTATGAACACCGCGCTTGGTTTGTCCGGGAGATGAGACTCCGTGCCTACCAGCAGCTTCTTCAGAGCTACCGGGTGGTAGGATTGAACAGCATGGCCAGCGATTTTGGAGTTACGGTGGACTTTTTGGACAGGTAAGCTCTAGCTGGCTGAATCAGAGCATAGCAATCATATTCACTAACAATTGTAGGGATCTGGCCAAGTTTATCGCTAGCAACCGCATCGCATGCACAATCGACCGAGTAAATGGCATTATCGAAACAAACCGCCCAGACGACAAGAACAAGCAGTACGCCGACGTCGTCAAGCATGGCGATTCTCTAATCACGAAACTTCAGAAGTATGGCCAAGCTGTGCGACTGCGCGGAAGTGAACGGAGCTAAAGCTATGAATGGTGACGAATCTGAGAGAATGGTCTGATTCTGGATTGTCCTGTGACCCGTGGACGTTTCAAAGGATCCCTCAGGGATATGATGGTTTGAGTCATTTAATAAATATTGTCCTCATGATTACTGTTAGAGCAAAAGCAAGCGAGGCTGCTGTATCATACGTCTAATGAACGAAGACCACTCTGACCTCGAAACGGCGTAATCTGATATCATGCGATTAGGAAACCTCCACGGTATGTGGGCTGACCGGGTCTAAGCGTTGCGTACGTGGATTAGGGAAGCCTTGGCATCAAATGCGTCAGTTTCTAGGGTTTCTTTTGTCGCTCAGGACGGCCATTGTTTCCCAGGTCTGTTAAGGACAAAGCCAATGCGGAATAAGCTTTATGTCTACTATTGCATTCTATCATACCTGGTTGTGTATCTGTAGTGAAGGGGAGATCGGAAGATCAGCCCGAGAATACAGGAGGGCTAGACAAAACTAAAGGGATGAGAGATTCAAAATCTGGCCAGATCCCGTTCTTCCCCGGTTACGGGAACCACCGGTAGGGCCAAACGGAGTACGGAGTACCCGTGGGGTAGCATTTCAGGTACGGGGCAGCGAATCCATGCCGATAGTTTGGTTCCTATAGAGTGTACTGCGTAATTTCTCTCCCACTTTGTTTGAACTGACAAACCATATCGAGCCATACAGTTGCGATTGACAATGCCAATGTTTCTCTCCACTAGGTTCTCCCCATCATGGCCCTCATTCACCCCCACCATGCCCTGTACCGTTGTATTGAGCTCGTATTGGATGGATGAGTCAGCGGCTGATCGGCGCTCACCGCCTACAGAATTTCTCGCGCGATAACCAAATTTCCCTGGGAATTCTTTTTTCCCCCTGCACTGTGTGAGCCGTTGGACCCTCTCTGGCCTCTACGACGCTGGACAAGACCTTAAGTGGTATTTTTGACTAATTGCGCCTTGAGTGACCCGTGAGTCCCCACGGTGGAGAGGCAAAATTCGCGCAATTGATTGTGAACGTCAGGACAAATTGTCTCAAGAGCATCCATCATGACCTGGCAGTTAAGACTCGTGCGGGCATCTCCGCTGCGATGCTCACTTTCCCGGCCGAATGGCCCGTGGCCTATCCCGCGGGCGTCTTACAGCAGCACAAGGTTCCCCGCCGGGGCTATCAGGCCTTCTTCAGGTATGTCTTTCGGAAATCTTTCGCTTGGTCCCATGGGGCCGATCCCTTCTACACCTGTTCATTGGATGCCACATCGGTTTAGTTACTTTCCTGTCTGTATTTTTGAACTGTCACTCGCTCTAAAGCAAAGATATCCCCTCACCCCGTGACATGCATAGTCATTCCTTCCCCTCCTGGGGGTCACCATATAAATGTCCAATGGATGCTCCATCCGGGCGAGCGCTCGACTCTATTAAGCAAGACAACTGACCCCTCTCGAAAAACCCTCAGACTCCGCGATGGCGACTCAGACTACAGTGTCCTACTCTACTACACGCACCTTGTCCACCCCGGGCCGTTGCCTGAACCCTGATAACATCAACCCCCACGTTAAGGAGGCCAAGTATGCCGTTCGTGGTGAGCTTGCCGTTAAGGCCGAGGAGTACCGTGTGAAACTGGCCAATGGAGATAAATCGTTACCTTTCGACAGTGTCATCTTTGCCAACATCGGCAACCCCCAACAGCTCGACCAGAAACCCATCACCTTCTTCCGCCAAGTACTCAGTCTCCTCGAGAACCCTCAGCTGTTGAACAACACGGAAGCACTTCGTACATCCTTTGGTTATGAACAAGATGTCGTTGACCGGGCCAAGAAGCTCCTCGCAGGTGTCCAGAGTGTTGGTGCTTACAGTCACAGCCAGGGAGCGCCCGTGATCCGCCAAAGCGTCGCCAAATTCATTGAGGAGCGTGATGGATTCCCGGCCAATCCTCAGGATTTGTTCTGCTGCGCTGGTGCCTCGTCTGGCGTCAGCACCATTCTCAATGTCATCTGCAACGGCCCCCAGGCCGGTGTCCTCGTCCCTATTCCGCAATACCCTCTTTACACTGCCACCCTTGCTCTCCTGAACGCGCAATGTGTACCCTACCTCCTCGAAGAGCAGAAGGCTTGGGGTACCGATGTGACTGCCATCCGTAACTCGTTGGCACAGGCCCGGTCTGCCGGCACTGACGTTCGTTCGATTGTGGTCATCAACCCTGGTAACCCTACTGGTGCCTCTTTGAGCGCCGATGATATCAAGAATGTTCTTGACCTTGCTGCGGAGGAGAAGCTTGTCGTTATTGCGGACGAGGTCTACCAGACGAACGTCTTCGAGGGCGAGTTCATCTCGTTCAAGAAGAGGCTTCGTCAGCTGCAACAGGAGGCCCCAGGCAAGTATGACTATGTGGAGTTGGTCTCTCTGCACAGTGTGTCTAAGGGCATGGTGGGCGAGTGTGGTCAGCGTGGTGGCTACTTTGAGTTGGTTGGATTCGACCCTGAGGTTCAGGCCCAGATCTACAAGCTTGTGAGCATCGGACTTTGCCCACCAGTCATTGGACAGTGTTTGCTTGAGCTTATGGTGAACCCACCCAAGGAGGGCGAAGGCAGCCATGAGCTGTACCAGAAGGAGTACAATGGAATCCGCGAGGGACTGCACAAGCGCGCCCTTGCTTTGTACAAGGCCTTCCAACAGATGGAAGGCGTTGAGTGTCAGGAACCTCAGGTATGTTACCCACAGGACTCTATCCTATGAACATAACTAACGTGGCTGGTATCTAGGGTGCCATGTATCTCTTCCCCACCATCACCCTCCCACCCAAGGCTATTGAGGCTGCTAAGGCTGAGAATCGTGCCGCCGACGAGTTCTACTGCCTGCGTCTTCTCGACGCTACCGGTGTTTGTGTTGTCCCTGGCTCCGGCTTCGGCCAGAAGGAGAACACCCTGCACTTCCGCACAACTTTCTTGGCCCCTGGTACTGACTGGGTTGAACGGATCGTCAAGTTCCACTCCGAGTTTATGGCCAAGTATAAATAAATGAATAGAGCTAACATGTACACATATGATTCACGTGATACCTGTTGAGAATATAGAGCATTATACCTCCGCCATATCCATGGCGCTACTCACACTGAAAGAACAAAATTGAATCCACTCAGATATCTTTAGATGTTCCTTTGTCCACGTAACTGTAGGCATTGTGTTTGCTCTCCTAAAGTATAGAATAATGGATGAAATTTGTGCGAATCGGAGTAGATTGCGATGGCAGTACGAGCTGGGCATGGGGTATATAAAATATATAAACAGAGTTCAAGTAAAACAATGGAACCTAGCTTTTTTTCTCGCTAAAACAATAAGTAACAGAAGGGGGCAAGAGGACCTTTTTTGATCAAAAGAGAACACGAACAGAGGTATATAGCTAATAAACAGGGCTAACAGGGAAATATGCGACAATCAACATGGGTGATAAGATTATGGCCAAAGACAAACTCCAAACCCAGTCTATCGATGCACTTTCAAGTCAATCGTTGAAATCATCATCGGGTAACTGCTCTTGGGTCTCAAAATTTGGGTTCGCAGATCCGCGCTCGTATCATTCGGTATCCCGACGGATCATCGGGATGGAATCAAAGACGTCCACTTGGTAACTTTACTTGTACCCGGATCCCTTCTGTTTCATTCCAGAGGACCATATTTTCGTTTCGAAGTTGTGTATATGCCCGACCGCAAATGGCGACGCGAATGCTGATGGATTTGAAACAACGCTGGGAGTGATATGGTGGCTGCTGGATGTGGATGGGCAGTCAGAGGACACTGCCGTTTCAGCTGTCGAGCTCACTCGGTCCAGATCAACGCTTCCACTTCTGTCCCTCGGTATTGAGCTCTGTGTATCCCCTGCTGAGTTGGGTCTGGAAGTGTTGAAACCGGGGATTAGGCAATGGGGGTGGCTTTGTTTCTCCCGGTACATTGAGGATACCTCGCTGTTAGTGATTGAGGCAGTGTCTGCGGTTGTGGTTGAGGCGGTGTCTGTGGTGCCTGTGACAGCTGACGCATTGTCCGTGATGCCTGTGGTAATGGATGCATTATCCGTGTTACCTCTAGTTGATGCATTCTCCGTGTTACCTCTAGTTGATGCATTGTCCGTGATGCCTGTGGCGATTGAGGCACTGTCCGTGTTGCTTTTGGCTGACGCATTGTCTGTATTGGTCGTGTTTGACGCTTCTTCTGCAAACTCCTGGCCTTCGTTTATGTAGCACTTGGATATTAGGTCGTTTTGGATGCAGAAGACCTTGCTCATAGATCTAATGAGAGCGAACTTGAACTTGACAGACATTTCTGGGTGCAATGAGATGGTTTCGAAGAGTAGTTGTTTCACATAACCGAGGCAAGCATTCATATGGATGTACTCGATTGTTAATGGGTGCATCAGGACCTTTCCTGTGTGCATTTCCCTGTATTCGGACCAGTTTAGTATGTTATTGACAGAAAAGGCCGTTCCAAAGCAACTCACCCAACTTTTCGTAGATACTCCCAGTACGAAGGCTGGCCGGGATCTGAACATAGCCTGGTCAGATACCATTTCCAGAAAATCTTTCTCCGTTGCACTTGAGGGCTGTCGATTGTGAACAAGTCCTCGATTTGTGCTTCGGACGCAGTACTTCGAGTGCGGAGAGCACGAGCTGTGATGTCAAATTCAAGCATTTTCTCATAGAGACGATGGGTGAGCTCCGGAATGACTGTTTTGAGATATTTCGAGCCTTTGTTGAATATTATGACGTCGTCTGCGGGCAATGATCAACAGTCTGTATCTGCTGGTAAGGTAGAAAGCAGCAGCAGGGTAAAACATACCGTCTGTGAAATCCAAGAATGTCTTTATATACTCCATGCGCTTTCCAAAGTCCGTGTATAACTCCTTCCGCCCGACCCTCCTAATATCTTCCTGAACAGGGGCAACTGGATCCATGTTTAGATCAATGTGAGATGTATTAATTAATTAGACTGGTTAGAAGCCGTTGTGCACTAAGGGGTTTATGCGTGATATGTATAGTATGCGTGCGTCGAGAACAGTTTATACACAATCCTAAGGGGTGTCGGTAGGGACAGTAACGGGGGACATATATGTTTCTTGTATGGTCTTTCTGCTGGAGACAGAGCTAATGTTTCATAGACCCATGTGATCTTTTAAAGGATTTTAGGCCTGTAACCGGGTCTTTCCGTTCCCTGCGGAGTGGGCCAAGTGAAGCTGACTAGGGGCTAACCTGACTTTGGCTGATGGACCATTTAACTGACAGCTCCTTCGACATCCATGCTCCTTATGAAACAAACTTCATACGGGCTCGCAGGATTTTTCAAGTCAGCGCACACAGAGGTTCTCCCGATCCTTGACAATGCGGTCCACAATTTTGGCCCAACGAGTACGCCAGCCTAAAGTGCAAGCGAGCACGCGTAGGGAGGCCCCGCAGAGGGATTTTCTCCGATCTAGGATCTCATACGTAGGGGCCATTAGGTTCCAAGCGGATGTACCTGCATAGTCAGCACCACTCGTGCGATACCGAACACGATCCGAGGTGGCACAGCGCCAATGACCTGCCGTTTGTTGGAGCGATAGATTAAAATAAATTAAGGCAGAGAAATGGCGGCCCCCACCTTGGAATCCCACGGAGCTGGGCCAGACTCCAGAGTTCAGCTACGCCCGATCCCTGAAAAGTTGAGATGATAGGATACGCACACCGAGGCAGGCTCCAGACAGTGGACCCACTAATGACTCTCCCATCGCCTAGGGGTTGGCGCGATTAGTATAATGTATCTCGGAGTATCATTCCTCGGTACCGTAGCCTAAATTACCTAAGTCAGCCACTCGGATATCCCGCCATGATGCTGGTTGATTGCGTTGTGATTCGTTGTTGCCCTTTTGTGCATATTACTATCTCGGTTATGTCTGTGCTGCTCTCCCTATGAACTGTCAGATAACGCTTGGCAGGTTCAAACCGTGCGGGTGGATAAGCTCCATAAACGTGTCGATCGGAGGAGGCCCAGCTGAGTCCTGACCTCAATGTGTCCACGACTCGAGTCATAACCCTCCGGTTTAGTGGCACCATAGTCATACTACTGTGGTCTCACACGGAGAGATTCTAGACACGAATCTAGACACCAGTGCCCCATGTTGATCACGATTGTTTGCCAGCTTATTTGCATGACAGCAGAGTCGAATCCCGAAGATGGTGCGCATTGTATCCGCTTCAGGGTCAGGGATGAGCAGAAAAGAGACGCATAGGATCATGCCACCAAGATGCTGCCATACTGTAGATATGGCCCTAAGCCTCTTTGGGCCTTCTTGGCAAGTGGGTCTTGAGAAAAGTCAAACAAATCAAACCGGCTCTTTTTACTGCCGCATTGCCGACTCCATAATCTTGACCAGAGAACCTGGACGTTATCAGATTCTGTTTATGGCTCTGTGCTTTTCTAGGAGCGTCTCATCAGTGGAGTACCAACTACCATATACGTCTACGTACATGTCAACCAATGTTCAAAATGCCGGTTCCCCTCGAGAATCTTCCATCTGATTACGATCAGGCACCGTTTAGCCCACTTCACATTGTTTGGTAGGCGTAGTCCGTAGTACTGAGATCCACTTGACTAGAACAGATTAAGTAAGAGCAATATCGAGATAGACTTTAGGAGGATCTTGACATTATTAACAATGTCATAAGCAAGTAGAGGGTGGTATTTAGGGGTCATGCAGGAGAAATCTCTACGGAGTAGGTAGCCTGGGCTTAAAAGTCTACTTATGGCCCGTGTTTTTCATATGTTGCAAACTCGTTCGTATTAATATCAGTAGTACATAGCGACGAGGTAGCTTAGGTTGCCCCTTTCCCTACTTATATGTAAAGTTTAAGCAGAAAATCATTGGCCATAACATAATATAGGCGAATACCTGTCAAGAGTACTGTCGTAGCATCTTGTGGAAAGAAGAAAGAAATGAGTGGGCAATGAGGATGAACAAAAAAAAATAAAAAAATAAAAATAAAAAAAACCGGCACAGTGGCCCCTTCCAGGACAGAAAATGGCTAGTTTTTTCCCGGCAGCTGGGATTAACCCCATTCACAGATGACACATTCTCGAATGATGCGAGGAAGATGACAAATATTCTCTTCGTACACTTGTACATGACCATTGACATGGTTCACCGAACTAACGTCCCTTTCCTTGAATATTCCGGCAATTCTGCTTGTATAGTCCATGTATGGTACAGTGCACCTATGTTTACCATTATTTTCTTTCTTCTTTGTTACGAATGGGCTCACTTTTGTCCCGCGGAGATTGCTTTTCCGAAATGTAAGCGATGACGAGAGTGCGACCCACTTATGCTGTGGGGCAAAAGCAGTTCGTGGGGATTATATCACTCACCTCATAGGGTAGAAACTGTCCAAAGTCGTCAAGGCCTGCTCCGATCCATTACTCCGAAGTATATAAATCGTCTTGTGGTAGCCACATGGACTTCATCAGCCTACTTTAGAGAAAGGTATGGCGTGACGGGGAGCAGATGTGAGCTCCATATATCCAGTCGCCCCGAGAACGCACCACGGCATATCCCGTCAGATACCCTCTTTTTGTGTCTTGTACTCAGGGCGCAAGGAGTTGAAGATAGTGACACACAGGGTGTGTATATGATGGGGTACTTGATTCACGAGAGTACTACAGAATCCTGACAATGAACGGAGAGAAAGGCGCCAGCTTGTTTCTGGGTGTTCATTGTGAGACCGAGGTTAAAGATTATATTAATCCATCAATATATTGCCTAGGCGACCCACCGTGTCAGCTAATGCTGCTGCTTCCATTATATTGGGACATGTCTTGGCTGAAGAAATGATGCAGGATGCCGCCGAGGATACGCCGAACGAACTCATGTGTTCTGATAGATGCACGGATAGGATGTGGTCAAGCTGATATTTGTTATAGGACATGTGAGCCAGTTGGCGGTGCTGGATTTATTCGCAACTTGGGCTAATTTTAGGTGGAAACGAGCTACCCTGGTCGCTTGGTGAAACCATAAGCTCGTCCGGGCAGGAGGTGCAAGGACCTATATGGTGGTCTCAAGACCTGAAAGTCGTTCCCCAGAAGTGGCAGACTGCATGCACACAGTGAAATCTGGTTGCAGGCTCATCGTCAACCTGGGTATCGGAGGTACGTCTGTCGAGGATGCGGTGGTACTCATGAGAGCTATTGTCATTGAAGGGTTTAGATACGGGTAGAATCTCTTTACCCCTTACGGTAGTCTTAGATTACCCATACCTTTTAGGATCACAATTTGCTCATCATTATATGACATAATGACCACTCTTTTTTCACACTTCTATATTCGAGAGGATGTTTGGTTCGAGCTTCAACAGCCATGTTGAAGGACTACTGTACATCTATCAGCTACCCAGCCAGGAGAGTAAGTTCAACCTCAAGTCAATAAGGTTGGAGTCTTGGTGGCGAGTGGTAAATGCGTGTTTCCTAAACCAGACTCGATGATCACGTTTCCTTCAGGGGTTAATCCAGGACCCATGAGAATACCTGACGACGCTCTAGGAGGTATTCCTACTGAGGTCCGTTGTTGTGAAAGTTTTCCAGTAATGCGATAGATTTAGCGGAATGAGCAATCGGCCGCTAATACTGAGGCCGGAGCAAGCGATCGTCAAGATCTCCCCACGATTTGCTGCCGGCTGTCGTTTGCTTACCCTCAGTGGGCTAGATGTACGTCACGCTGAACTGATGACTGTCATGGACAGAAGCATTAGTATGGGATACTTGACTATCTGGTGTGCGCCCGGATCAGTTATTTCACCGAGTTCAGAGGCCTCGTATACCTAGGTTGGTGTCACCATAATGCGACACTCGGAGGTAAAACTTGTGTCGGTAGCAGACGAGCTATGGCACTAAGTTTTCCTGAGTACAAGCTGCGGGAGGATTATTTTGTAGCACTTGTTGTTCTGCAGCTTCGTTTGCAAGAGGTCTGTCATGTGAAAGCAATGTCTCAGTTCATGTACTCTTCCATGTACGACTGCACATTACCCCAAGAACCACTTAGCAATATTAATCTCCGCCTGAGAAAATTCCAGCCTATCCTATCCTGTACCGCTATCTCTTATTGTGCAACAAAAGCGTGGGATAAAGTAACCATCGCCGAACGTAGTGCGCAGTGCATATTTCCAGTCCCTTGAGTATACAAGAAAAGAAGTGACGAACTATGCTGCTTAGCCAAAACTTCAGGAGTATAACCCAAAGCACAACCATCGGTAATCAGAAAATGAAAAAGGAAAAAGAGGGGGTGAGCGAAGAGATCTTCACTCGATACAAAAGTGACCAAACATCGAGAAACATTACAACTATATCCCTAATCCAAGATAAAACATCATCCTAAATGACCACGAATTCCCACAAATTACTTAGTAGAAAAGATAATATACTATGCATGTACCCACATAAATCACCACCCTATAAATCTCATCACATAACCACCCAACCCTACCAATCATACACAGTACCCCAAGTAGACCCATACATACATACATACATACACACCGATCGGTTGTTATGGTTACCCTTTAGGGTTACTCGACAGAACAAACCCTCTCATCCAGAGCCAAGACCCAACAAGCCTTTTCCCAAAAAGCTTGTCCTTCGTCCCCTTGCATAACCCTCCTTCCCTTCCTACTTAAAATATCCGGTATGGACGCAATGGAATAAATCCCTCATTGTGGGTACCGGTACCTACCTTCCTGGGGTATGTCTATGTAACCTGTTTCAACTTGCATTCTACTTTTACCCTTCCTTACTCTCCGTGAATCAGAATTGAATCTGCAGTTTTCAGCCCCTGCTTGTTTTAGTAGGTGGTTTGCGTGGTATGCATCGTTTTTCTGTAGCTTGAGTTTTTTCGGCTTGGAAAAGTCTCCGGTTAGCAGGAAGAGAGAGAGACAGAGAAAATATATATGTGTGTGTGTGTGTGTGTGTGTGTGTGATTCCGAAGGGTTGGTTTTGTTGGGGTAAGGGTACGTGTATAGAGCAGAGATAGCATACCTAGGACTACTACTAGTAGCCGGGGGTACAATACATACATACTCCGTACATGCTATACTTACTGGTATGTATTGAATGTATCTATGTATCTATGTATGTACGGACAGATGCCGTATGTATCTATACCGTACTGAACCATTCGATTTGGTTGATGTAACGTGTCCTCCGGATTAAGGCCTGGAATTTGTCCATAGCTGGGCTATGGCAATTCATGGAATAAGGGGATCTAGAAATAGTAGCCGGCGATACTTCTTTGAGTCCCCAGTAACCCTAGATACTGGTCACATGTTGGAGGTTATGACTGGGTTTCAGCTCACCGCCGGATACCCCCTGGAAACCGGGATTACATCACTCAAATAGGCACCTATGTACACCGCTACACTGCAGGTGTGCTCGGTTGGGGTCATGCACATGATCTATCAAGTCTAGCCCGGTTCGGAAGTCTAAAAAGGTAACACAAAGCTGAGCCCTGCGGTCCCGGCGGTTGACGAGGGACGCCCTCTCACGTTGGATTCAATTCGCCAGGGGGCTACACGGGGCTACGAAGTCGCTACATTTGACTAGCTACTATTTCGTTGACGTCTGGTTAATGATCTGGATCAACGTGTATATGAGCAGCTAGTAATCAGGAAGTCTATAGATGAAAGCCAAGAGTGTGTATACATGTACCAGGCATCGCGAAAGTATTAGGCAATAGTAGGCTGGGAACTTTTGGACCCAAAAAAAAAAAAAAAAAAAAACCACCAAACAGAGCCAGGAAAACATACAAGGCACGGGTTGAGCTATAAACAGATCAACGTGAATGAACACTAGTCTTTATCGATTGAATGCTATAGTATAGTTTCACTGGGACTGGCTAATTGAACAATAATATCAGGCATTTATCATCATCTCTCATCATGGTCATGAAGACGTGGGTGTCGTCACTCAGACGGTGTGGAGGTGGTGGTAACGTGCCGCGAACAGACCACAAAGCCAGAAAACCTGCGCTTGCCCGCGAGTGCACTACTGCACCCATGACGGCGGGTAGAAATTGTTGTCATCGACCGACGCGGCGGCGGGGTCAAAGAGCGCCGCGGGCCACATGGGATCTGCAGCAGACGTGGTGATCGGAAGGCTCGTCGTAGGGGTGCTTATTGGTTTGAAGGTCTGGGCGTCCGACATGGCGTAGGCGTCCTGCGACGGGAGTGGCTTGGGTTCCATCCCCATATTGGCTTGGAGTTGATGCTCTAGTGCTGCTGTCGACTCATTGGCGGACTTGAGGAAGTCGTCAATGTTGATTGAGTCCAGCTGATTTGACGATAAGAGTTGCGCCTGAGGAAGGCCAATAAACGATGACGCAGAACTTATGCGGAAATGATCGAGATCTGAGCCTTCGCTCCCACTGGCGAGATCCTGAAGGTCATTTCCTGCATTCCCAAAGCCGGAAAATGGTGCGAAATCCTCCACTTCAGAAATATCACCAGACGACGATGGAGCTGGTAGGCCGTGGCTCATGGAGTTGTAGTCGAAGCTAGCGTAAGAGGGAGCTTGTGTGCTGGTCGCGGCAGGAACATCTGAGGAATACAGAGGGAAGCTTGACCAATCGACAGGGGGTGCATTGAATCCAGTAGGACCCAAAGGCATATCGTTGTCCGGCGATGTGAAAAACTGCTCTTTGTAAGGATCTTGGAACGCCATAGTGTTCACAGGCGATGTGGTCGTGGTTGGGAAAGTAGAGAAGGGCGAGACATCAAGAGGAGGCACACTGGTCATGAGTGGATTTAGGGGCGTCTTCCCCATAGAAAGGGACACCGGCTCGGCCTCAGTGGGTTTATTCATAGGCTGAGGCTGAGGGAAGAAAGACGAGAGGTCGAGTGGGGGGACTGTCGTCGGTACATCTTCCGTTGACACGACGGGGGCACTCTCGGGAGACCCATGCTCGGACTTGACACGACGCTGAGGACCGCGGGTGGGCTGCTGTTCCGGAAATGGTTGGGTCGCAAATGGTTCGTTCATCAAGGCCGCTTGAGTCAAGGGCATCTGATCGACGGACCGACGAGACACATCGGAGGTCGAGTGGATCGTATGAGACCGGGGTATCGTGTAAGGCAGACCACACTTGTGAGCCATGTCATTGTGTTTATGAGCCGGTTTGTGGTGACCATCTCGGAATATCGTAAGCGTGCTTTCTGACTTCGTTGAGGTCAACTGGGGCTTCTTGGGTGGTTCCGACAGAATAGTATGCTGGGGCGGAGGAAGACCAGTTTCCGGCACAGTATTTAGGTGGGGTTCCTTCTTCAGCGCACAGGTACAGCGCTGTCCATGAGTGCAGCCACATCTTGGACGAGAGTCCTCTGTAATGCAGATCAGAAACAATGAACCAGTGTACCAACTCCAACATGCTCACGCTTGTGATCCCGCTTGTCATTGGCGTGGTGGGGATCTAAATCATGCTTGTGGCTGTTCTTTTTCTTGTCACCACACTCGCACTTTGTGTGGGTTGTCCGTGACTTGCGTAGGCCGCGACAGTGAGCGCATTGAGAGACTGGACGGCCTTTTTTGTTGATGTGGGTCAAGGGGCGGTCTGTGATCTCCAGAGTCAATCATCCTCCTGACTCCCAACAAAGGAGGGGTCCATCAACTTACCACTGTGGTGACAGCTGCTGACACGGTGACCCCGGACGCAAGCTTCACAAGCCCACTTCTCGCCATCAATGAGCATTATCGCGGTTACTGGGTAGTAGTCATGCGATGACTCGCGACGAGTATATAGGAAGTAAATTTAAATTGGAAACCGAAGGGTAGACAGCACAGGGCTCTCTGGCTATCCTAATCGTTTTTTTCTTTTTGTTTTCAAAAATATTCAATAACCGAACAGGAAGACCTGTCGGGGGGAATCGAAAGTGCCGTCAACGCGAGGATTCGAGGTATAGTGTGCGGTCCGTCAAGGTGATCGGACCGACCGAGACCAAGAAAAACTCCAACAAAGCAAGGGTATCTCTTAACGAATATCCCAATGCACCGAACGAAGTCACAGAAAACGCCGTTTCACCTATCAAGGTGGAGTCGCAAGTACTAAGGTGAGGGTGCAAGACAATTAGGGTACCTGGCGAATAGCGCACACCCAGGAACCAGGAACCGGGGATGGAGGGGGGGGGCAGTCGGATCGGGACTAAGAGAGAACCCAACGGATTATAGAAAGAGAGAAAAAGAGAACAACTAAATGGGGGGCCAAAGCCTACGCACCGTTTGGCGCCGGCCGTGAGACAGGACACCAAATACCGGCTGTGGCGGCCAAGATAAAGGGGAAAGGCGATCGATCTGAAGGCAGAGTTGTGTGCCAAACCCTGTGAGAAGGAGAAAGGAAAAAGGAGAAAAAAAGAGAAGGAGAAGGAAAAGGCGGGAGGGAAGCGGGCGAAGAAGTAGGTTAGGTTAGGTTATGTTAGCTGACTCGGACCCGTTTTACTCCAACTTAACTTGGGGGGGTAAAAGTGAAATGGACAGGGTTAAGGCGGAAATGGCCCAGGTCAAATGTGGAACAATTCGGTGGCCGCAAGGGAGTTGCGTCGATGGTGGCTGTGTCTCGCCGGAGTCAGTCAGACCTGGAAACGAGAACAGACCGGAATGAAACAATTTAATTTGAATAAAGATAGATGAGAGGGGAAAGCGATGCTTAATATCATGGTCTTTCAATTCGAGTTGAGGAATCCTACTTCGATTTGTCACAGTTTCTTTACTTGATCAATTCTGGCCTTCTAATTCAATTCAAGGATCAGGATGTTTCATGCATTGACATAACTTTTCTGGTGAGGACTTGTCATGCACCCCGAGTATGGAATGCTTCGTGGTCTGCTCCACAGTACATGAAATATCCATGGTTATTACCGTATTGTACCTTTACAGGTGCTTTGTCCCTCGTGCTGAAGCTACCCGCACATACATACACGTAAACACACCAACACTTAGAAGTCCATTTGTCCTTTTCGGTTCTTTTCCTTTTGCTGCTCCCCTTTGATTGAGGTGTAATCCTTGAAGTCAGCCCTGTGAGGGTCAGAATTTTCATTGTAAACTTTGGTACAGCTGCATCTGCGGAGGTGTCCCGGTTCTTCGGTAGTGGCTGCCTTCCAGGTAGGCATACTCCAAAAGATGGCGATGACAACACAGCCAGTGATAGCGTCACACAGATTGGCATTACGCACAAATTATTGTCCGGCCCAAAGCAACTACCGCAATAAGAATTCTAGAGTAATTTGTAGATTATATTATGACTATTCTCTAGAAAGTTGTACGAGGAGGTACAGACCTACTTACATAAAATCTATGCATGCAGGTATATGTATGGTCATATCTGGAGCCTTAGTCTCTGACAGTCAGTAAAAAGTACAAAAAATAAAAATAAAATAAATTGTAAGAAAACGAAAATAAACCAAGCTCAGAGACAGGCTTGCATCTACTGTATTTTGGATTCAATGCAAGGGGTCTTTGACAACCGCTACCACAAAACGGTTCTTTCCATCCAAAACTCTTCAATTACTTGGGACTCCAGCCGCGATTTACGCCTGAATTGTTAGGGTACGTAGTTACTTACCATGGGTTAGTCAGTGGCCGTCGTTCAACCTCGGGGACGTAGAGGTGGATAGGTAGGTTTTAGGGTACAAGAACACTGAACGACTGGAGAACGGAGAGGCTTGGTACGGAAAGTTGAGGGGACTGGACCAAACTCTGTCCACTGGTTGATGGATCCTGTTACGAAATTTCTGGGGCAGAACCGGGCCGGCGAATACTTAACCACTGTGGATTTTCTAGACCGAGTTTTCGTGCTTATTGAATTTGATTTTCAGAAAGGTACTGGTAATACCTACAGAGTACTGATAGCGCCAAGTGTGCCCGGATATCTACTTTTCGCCCTGTCGACTACAGAAGATAGTCTCAGATCTCACTGACCGACTGTCTATAATAGTGCCCTGTAGAACTACAACAATGACCATGGGATCCCAAGTGTCTTTGCCACTCTGCTACAGTCAACTCTTCTAGAAGGTCTATTTGGATCTTCCATGCAGACTTAAAACCTTCCAGTCAAGCCAGTCATTGGAAGACTTGACCAGTGTGGTTAGACAGGCACCAACAGTGGACCATGGTTGTCAATGCGGTGAACAGATTTGAGTTGAACTTTTGCCTCAGTGCCCGGCGCTCTTTCGCGGCAGGGTTGCCCAGTCTTACCACGGCACGAATGGGCAAAGATAAAGATGGATTGGCATGAACGCCATCGTTCTCCGACTGCAAGTCGTGTCACTGACTATATGTTTCCGTTCGACAAATGTCGGGACTCGGGAGGTGAAGTTAGTTCTCCGGCGCTGACAGTTACGAACTGTATCGTATTGTATTGTAGTGTATCAGATCGAGCGTTCCAAGGCTCAGTCATCGTTAAACGATCGAGTCAGCGCCATCCCAGCACATCGAAGTACGTCAAGCCAAAAGCAAAGATAGCCGTGCCTTGCCTATCAGAGATCGAAACAGTCAGGGCTAGGAAAATATTTACATCACCGGTCATTCGCTCGTGGTTGCCGTGGTTGGTTCTCAGATCTCCCTTCGCGACATCACGGGTTGTTGGGACTGTGAAATGGCGTCACAGCTGCTAGTTTAGGACCTTTGCAGCGGTCTTGCCGGCCGGTCATGTGCAGTGGAGGGGGCCTGATCTGCGCGGCGTTGGCGCATGGCTGCTCCACCAATGATAACTTCTTTCGGAGAGAAAACGGGGTCCCTTCGGACCTTCCGTCTTCTCCCCTCAGCCAGTTGGGAACCAGCAATGGATAACAATCGTCTTAGACTTGGAAAGTCGAGGGCTCTATCTGTTAGTTAGAGTCATCTATGTGGTGTATATTAGCCGCCGGACAGAAGGATGATTACCAGTGCCTTCTATAGTAATAAATGCCATGGCCTATACGGCCTAGAGGCTAGAACACGCAACAATTATATCTACCATAAAAGACGTAGTAATAAGAGAATCTGAGAAACATAAAACTACCCGAAGAACTGCTCTAGAGCTTCAACACTTTTTTCAACAAGACAAAATTTGACTTCCAGGACAGAAAACCCAACTTATTAGTACCTCAGGTACACTTCGTGTATGGTGCCTCGAACTATACCTCACTCGGTCACTTGTGGATCATCGCTGGGCCCCAAGGCCAATCCCCAGACAGTCTATAGATAGTCCCACTTGTTGATCCGCCGCTTCAACCTAGGGATCGTCTTATGGTGCAACTTTAGCCGCCCACGGCAAGGGCAGACAGAAGAATTCGAGATAAGATGTACTCTATACTAAGGTCAAATCCTGTCAATAGTATTCATAATAGTGCGTGTCTCAGGTTTCACTCTCGAGCTCATAAAAATAGCCACAATCAGTCTCTGACATGGTCAATTAAGAAGGCCTCACAGCCCGGTGGATCTGTTTCAATCTACTGCGCGCCGGTCTGCCCCAGTCAACGGACCGTATCCGCATTGTGGAGGAGACTTGTAGTTACACTTACTTTCCTTGGCCTAGTTCAACATAGTTCAATGCGCAATCCGAGTCTATTGGAAAACAGATTTTTACAGTTGTATTTAGGCCTGATAAGGGAGGAAACGATACTGCTCAAGCGAGTGGGCTTATTCCACTGGCAGTCTAGGTTTGAAAGATACTGTGTTGAGGACGATGGGCAGCGGGTTGAGCGGGTTGAGCGGGTCTTAGTTGGCTCCTTCTGCAAACGGGGCCCCTAGAAATCAAGCTGTGTATAGTGATCCTTTGTGCGTAAACGATGGATCCACCGTTGATATCGAACATTGCCCGACTGACAGGTTTTGCGTACGGCTGGTAGTCAAAACTCAGGACCCCTTTGTGCCATGTGGAGTGCACCAGCTTCCTGGGACCAGCTGGGTTGCCACTCGGCGGTTTCAAAGTAATACATCCAAGATAACAACAGTCAACAACTGAGTCAAAGGAATGATACTTCATTCCTAGAAACCTAAATATGATAGTATATTGGTGTAACGTATATCTCATGTATTGACAAGCAAAGTTGACCCGAAATAGGATCAAGACGTTGACGAACTGCAAAAACAGTTTGTTTCAGGATTTAGCCCAAATCGCCTTCTGCTGCTGTCTAGGACAGTGTTATAGAGGAGGAGAACGAAGAAATATTAAGGGAATTAGTATGAGGTTAACTTGATATCCTTAAGCAATGTACTGTGTGTTGGCATAATGTGCTCAGCTTCATCAATACTGCACTCAAGAATGGAATAGAAGTATATGTGTAGTAGCTTTATGGGTTAATCAGGTTGGTAGACTGATAACACCAAAGGTCTGTGGCAGTTTCTCAATATACTGTCGTCTGGTCTGTGCTGAACTCTGTGAGGCTGTCCTAAGCCAGCGATTCAAGCTCCTGGTAAGAGATATCAACAAGCCAAAGTATTCCACAGACTATATAAGGCCATATTGCAAGGCATACTAAAGCTGCATTAGTATGCCTGTTGCATCGTCAGAGAGAGTTGGAGATGCGGTTGCTTACCGAGGACAGTAGGGACGATACTGTTAGCCTTCCCCATATATGACGCTATTTAATGTTACGAGCACATATAGGAACAGAAGCATAGTCTTCAAGAAACTCTAGAATGTAATAATGACACAAGGACATGGTGGTGATTGTGCTCGATCGACATCATCTGCAACGTTGGGTCGAAAGCGACGCCTTAAATGCTTCCTATACAAGACGGATGAGGTTAAAATCGAGGGAGGCGGTTATGATTCCCTGAGCTCAAGAAATCTCGCCCGAAACTACCAAAATGATAATTTCGCCCCATAGAAGCCCTTGACCTCCGATAATCTTCCGTTTGAGATGCGGTTTGGTCGAGTTCTGGGCCGGTGGGAAATAGTATTAATCCGTCGCTGGACGCAGAAACAAAAAGCCGGTCCTCCGCATCGGCGCGATCATCCAAGTATGAAACTATATTCTCGTCCCCGAGCCTTCATCAGATTCAGCGATCTTCATTTTCTGTAATTCAATCGCGCGATCATGTTTGCTGAGTCTTGCGAATTGCGCCGAGG